CCCCAATAAAAAAAGTCTTACCTGATTTTATTAATTCTCATCCTATAACTCTAGGGAATGATGTTCTTCTCCCTAACCATTGATCCGATTAGGGTCAAAATGTATATCACCTTGGATCTGATCAGTGAAGCTTAAACTTTTACTGTTGCTCTAAGGTAATCATCATTCCCCTAAGAACAATTATATGATTATTTCCATTTCAGCTATGAATTACCTGCAATAGTATCATTTGTGCTGGTCATTTCTGATCTTTTTCCCCGTCAGAGATGCCTTGTTCTTGATTTTCTTTGTAGCAACTTTGTTCTTGTTTTAGTTTATATGTACAATAAATTAAACGTTCGAGATGTTAGAAATGTGAACCAGAAAAGAGAGGCCGAAGGTCGAAATAAAGGGAAAAGGAAAGAAAACGTTTCTTCCAAACCGTAGGATCAAAGGTGGATAACAATGTGAGGTATATCCTGAAGAAGGAAAATTGAGGGTGGAAATGGTAGGTAGAAGAAGCAGGGAAAGTGGGGGAGGAATTTGCAATTGAGTAGGACCTTAAGCACATGTAAATGGGAGGGGGAATAATTGTGTGTTGAACATGATGATGGCACACGTGCGCATTAGGTCACCCTTAGCAGTAAGAAACCAAGAGGAAAAAAAGAAAAGGAAAGGCTTAGCATAATCTCATTGGGTATGTTCTTAAAGTGTTTGTTCTTTGGGGCCATTATCTTTATGGGTATGTCTTGTAAAAGTGAGGCAAAACCTCCTCAATTTATGTTCAATAACGAGTAGCCCCCCCTCTCTCCCCTCTTCCCTCTCCTCTTCTTTCAAAAGTATTATATAGAATGATAGAAATTGTATTTGTAATCTTAGGGTCAAAAGAAGGTGTAGTAGTGGGAATCTTAGCATTGCACACTCAGGTAGCTATCAATGCTAACGAGAGGCAAAATGAATGTTTGGTTTGACATAAGATCAAAAGAATAAAACAATAAGTCTTTGTTTGTAGTATTCTTTTAATTTATTGTCAGTGACTCAACCATATTAGATATTATTTGTATAAGGATGAATGAGTTAGTCATTACATACTCAAGAATTTTATGTCAATGGATAAGTTCGAGGGCATAATAAAAAAATTATGAAACTTCGAGCTCTTAATCGAAAACATACCAATAATTCAAAGATGAATTGGGAAAGCTATCAGCTCAATACATAGATCAAGAACACAATCATGCACTTTTTTTTTTGGTTTCACTTGAATGGATGAAGATGAGAGAGAGGAAGCATTAGAATGGTTAGAAAACAATGTCACATCACCCCCACATAGACATGGATGATTAGGCCATGCACCCATTATTTAATATTGAAAGCAAGCAAAAGCACCAGCCTATGAGAACAGAGAACTCCTCAATCATCTTGTCCACCCATGTTCACTATGTGCGTGCGTGCGTGCGGAGCGGCGAGTGGGCGCGGCGTGGCTGGCCCTGCCCTGCCCACGCCCTCACCCCCCTCCACCTCCAAGCACCTCCCGCATGCCTCCAACCCAATTATTCACTTAACACCTCTTCAATAATAACACTAAACTTGTCCTTGTAATATTCACCTTTTTACCTAAAAATGTTATCTTAAGAGCTTAGCTTAGTAATTTGTTACTACACGCCTCTATGAATTAACTAAACACATCCTTCAAACTTCAAGAGATTGCTTAAAACAAAGAGAGATTTGTAGGTTCTTAACAACGAACCAATTATAAGACGACAAGTGGCGAATTGGCCCGTCTTCCAAGTTTGTAGGTTCTTAACAATTGAAACACATGGGCAAAAGCATGGGGGAGGGCTTCCTTTGCCCACAATTCTTCTAAGAAATCCCCACAAATTAATGTAAACAAATCCCTCTCTTCCATGTGGCTCCAATTCCCATTTGCTTCTTCATGCTCCCCAACTCTAACTTTTTAAAATGTTTCATTTCTTATTTTGTGTTTAATAATTCATTTAAACGAGACAATCTCCAATGAAAGATTTTGCTTTAGACTAGCCCTTCAAGGTCCTTCATCCCGGGCTTGGGTTCAAGAATTCTCCTCAATGAAAGCCTCTTCTTCTCCCGATGGAGGCAGATTGAGATCAATATCCTACCAAGGGAAAGAGTTTGAGCTCCATGCGCAAGATCCCTAAACCATCTTGACTTAGGCTAAGTTTGGGAAGCCGGTTGTTGTCATAAAAAAAAAATCAAATTCTTTTTAGACAATTTATAAAGTTGTGAGACTTGTATGAAACCCAATCTCAAATTTTTACGAGACTACTCTTTGTTCGTTCATAAAAAATTGAATAATGAAGTAATCATTCCAAATAACACAAAAATCTCTCAATCTCACTAGAAATTGAAACCAAAATTTGCAGCTTTGCTTTAGCATTATTCATCTATTGAAGGTAGAAGGACATATGGGTAAAGGAACAGACTCCCAAATTGAATACTCAATTTCATGTGTCTGTCTAACAAAAGGGTAGAGAGAGAAAATTATAAAGGGTAGAGAGAGAAAATATTAAGGGTAGAGAGAGAAAGAATGGCACATTTAGAGAGAGAGAGAGAGAGAGAGAGAGAGGCCTGAGGGGTTTAGTCTAAGAAGGGTTTGCCTAATCATTCACCGACAACTCAACAACAATATCTTCCACTGTTCTTCCATTGATACCCAAAAGCTCAACCATACATCAAAAAATAATACAAATACATTGTGATCATCATCATCATCGACACGCTCATCTAACCCAAACAATTTTTATGTTAAATTATAAATTTTTAATTTCCTCGCTTCCGCGTTATACCATTTGTAACGGTGTAAGGTCATCACTAATAGATATTATCTAATTTAAAACGCGTCTACTAGAAAGAAGTTTTCATATCTTTAGAAGGAACACTTTGTTCCCCTCTCCAATCGATACGAGATCTCAGAATCCGACTAAACATTATTTCCCACGAACCCATGTGAGTATGAATGAAGAAGAAGATGGTGGTGGCCATTTCTTTGTTCTTATTTGTTTGCTTCATTCAATCAAAGAGAACTAAGCTTGCCGTAGTACTATACTATATACTATATCCCTCCTTCAATATATCTTCATTTAAAAAATGGTCACATCCACCACTTATTCTCTCACATTAAAATAAAATATCCACATTTTAATAATTCACTTCTCGATATCAATTATCTAATATCGAATAATGAAAAATTCTTCATTGAACAACCACTACTCTTCTGTTTCCTCGATGATTAGATCGATCATAGGCTGATAAAATTTTAACGATGATCAAAATAAGATAGCGTTTTAAGAATCTAATAATGGGTTGAAGAGAATTTTCTGAGTTGACATGTATCGTCGGTAAATGTTTTTGGTGATCCATGTTAGAAAGAGAGACATGATAGAGTAACAATAGTTATCACACAGTGTGACAAAGACGTGTCAAGTCCAAGTTAAGATGTTTAAAGACAAACAAAAGCATTTTTTTTTTAGAAGAATCTCGAGTTTGATCCATTACAAATTTAAAGCAAACAAATATTGTGAATAATAAAATTAAAAAGAAGTTAAAAGAGATAAAGCATAATTAAAATGGGTAATACATGAAAACATGCAAATTAACAAAAGAAAGAAGCCAAACCAATAAGGACATGGCCTTCAATTATTATATTATCTTTTTTATAATTAAAAAAAAATTGTTATCCCAAGAAATAAAAAGGGGAAAAAAGTGATATTATTGTTCACCCCACGCTCATCCCAAGCGTGTGTTGGGCTGAATCCACTAGAAGACAAAGTAGCCTTTATTTATAAATTCCCACGCGCTACGTGTGTGACTCTGCTTATTTCTTAATTGTGTCTATTTTTTCTATTTTTTAAAAAATTTATATTTATATATTCCATGGATTTCTTTAATAAATATTTGCTTATGATTTTAATTTCATAATTGATTTTTTATTTTTAATAAATGAAGAAAATTTAGTGGATTACCAAAAAAAAAAAATAATAATAATAACAATAAAATCAATAAATATATATATATATATTAAATAAGTATCATACCAACCCTAATTACAAATGAAATCAAAGGCAGAATTACTCAAAAAAAAAAAGGGACAAATTTGGATTGACGTAAAGACTAAAGTGAAGAAATTGGGTCGAAGTTCAAATTCAACTCCTTGGTCTTAGTCTAAAGCCATGCATGCTCTTGAGTACCCAACGGACAAGTCAATCATATGAAAATTGTAAGTTGCAAACAATTCAAATATAAGAACAGACCTCAGTCGTGTAGGAGAGAAAATAGGTTGAAAACGATTTATAAGAAAGCAATGTTCACAGGTTTGATAACGTATAAGTCATGTAGAAAAAAAAAATTGATGACTAGTCACATCCTCTATAGTACGTTATAGTGCATTTTAGTCCGTAGACATGAGTACATTATGGTGCATTTTAGTATGTGGACATGATTTTGATGAAAAAATTTAACGTAAAAGAAATTTGAAATGATGAAATATATTTATTTTAAAAATGATGAAGAAAATAATATTTAAAAAAAAAAACAAACAAATAAATAAAAGGTGGTACCTTTCCTTTGTGTTAGCGGTAATAAGATCCCATAGTGGGCGCTCTCAAAACATCCCACGAGCTTTACAACTCCATCTTCCAAACCTTCCTTCCGCTCTCCAAAATCCCATCTCTCTGCGCAACATGGCCCTCGAAACCTGGCTCAGTAAGGTCAAGAACGCCGTCTCCAACAAGTTCGATGTGGTTCGAACCTCATCTTCAACCACCCTCAACACCCAACCCACCACCACCGCCTCCTCCAAGAAATCCCCAAACGTCGGCGTTTTGGCGTTTGAGATTGCCGCCCTCATGTCCAAGCTTTTGCATCTATGGCAGTCCCTCTCCGACACCCACATTATTCGCCTTCGAAATGAGTCTCTTTCCCTTGAGGGTGTCCATAAAATCGTCTCCAACGATGAGCCCTTCCTCCTCGGCCTCGCCTGCGCCGAAATGACTGAAAATCTTCGACTTCTTGCTAACTCTGTTTCCCGTTTGTGTATTAAATGTAACGACGCCGATCTCCGGTCGTTCCACCGGGCCTTCGACGACTTCGCCGACTCCGGCCGCGATCTCCACAACTGGGTATGTTAAATCACCACTGATCATTTGGGTATTTTTCATTTTTTATGATTTTATTTATGGTGATGATGTGGGCTGTTTGGAGGGAGTACACATTGGCAAAACCACTCGAGATTACTACAGTAGAGATTAAATTCATGCCCTTAGTTCGAGAGTTCTATAGCGTACTTTATTCAAAAGCAAAAACTTTTAGGTTCAAAGTAGACTATTGTGTAAAGTCGTGATTTCTAACGATTTACCTTTTGATTTACAGATATTGAAGGAGAAAGAAATGGAGTGCAGGAACAAGAGGGTGGAGAGATTAGTTACAGTCACGGCGACCCTCCACAAAGAAATGGATGAGCTTTCAGTAATGGAAGCTGGTTTGAGAAAAGCAGTGGCAAATTTACAGTCATGTCAGCAAGAGAACAGCTCGCCATTGGAGCAGAAAATCATCGATCTTCAACAGAGGATCGTTTGGCAGAGACAAGAAGTTAAGTATTTAAAAGAAAAATCCCTTTGGAACAGAACATTCGATACAGTGATGTCAATTCTAGCAAGATCAGTTTTCACAACTCTAGCCAGAATCAAATTTGTTTTTGGTTTGGGTCAATTTCCTTCGTCTCTCCCACGTAGCCTCTCCGCCTCCGCCGCCGTCCACCCACTCAAGAACTTAAACGACAACGGCAAGGAATTTCCGGTGAGTAAAAATGCATTTTTTGAACCCAATTCTAAACTCCTCAAGCCGCCTATGTCCACTTTAGGGGCCACGGGGTTGGCCCTGCATTATGCCAACTTGATCATAGTCATGGATAAGATGATCAAATCGCCTCAATTGGTGGGCGTGGATGCTAGAGATGATCTTTACTCGATGCTACCGAATAGCGTTCGGTCGGCGTTGAGAGCGCGGTTGAGAGGGGTTGGTTTCACGGCAAGCGATCCGTCGTTGGCAGGGGAATGGAGGGAGGCGATGGGGAGGATATTGGAGTGGCTGTCGCCAATGGCACAGAACATGATAAAATGGCAAAGTGAAAGGAGCTTTGAACAGCAAAATTACATGGCGCCAAAGACGAATGTGATGCTTTTGCAGACGCTTTATTTTGCTAATAAGGATAAGACAGAAGCTGCCATTACAGAATTGCTTGTGGGGTTGAATTATATTTGGAGATTTGAAAGGGAAATGACTGCTAAGGCCTTGTTTGCCTGTAACAACTTCATTGCCACATGAAAATGGGAGAAAAAAAAACCATATTTCTTGTGATTTTTCTTGGGAAACTCTCATCATCTGAACGCTTCTGCTGTATATTTTATCATACAAAGTGTATGTAAATGATATGATGATTTTAATATGAGAATCAAAAGATGGAAGGAAAAAAGTGTGGATGATACGACCTCCGACACATGGGTTAGGGCGCAATATCGGCACACCTGTGCTACTTAGTATTGTCCTTGAAAGACCCATTTGAAAGAAATGTTCATCCGACACATGTATGTGCAACAGCATAACTAGCTTAGGCCACAAGGCTGAGGGGTGGTGAAAAGTTAACACCATGCCTCCCTTAGGATATATTTTGAGGAATTTTCAATCCTCTTCCGGCAGACGTTATTTTAGCTAACAGTCATACGGCATCATGGAACATTCATTCGGTGTTCGATTGACACCACATTTAACATATTTCATATGGATGGACTTGACTCGAGAACTACATGCCCAAATTCCCATTCATAACCCTGATTTTTGAGGTTAAGGCTCGAGGCCCTACCTGACCCTTGAACAAGCCTATCTTTGACGCTTGTGTCTACTCGTGACCCTTATCTTGCTTATGTCTCGCCTTCTCTTCAATGCCTACTCCTGTGTGGTGTGTTAGATGATGTATCGTTCTCTTCGATTGCATCATGACACTCGTCTAGGCCGTTGCGTGGCCAGATGAACACCACTTGAGGACCACCGCTTTGCATGTCGCAACATGAAGGTCCACTCTGTATAGAGTGATAGATGTTGCACCATCGTCCTCTCCCGATTCGGAGAAAATATCCTAAGAACAAAGTAGAAAGAAAGACAAGATAACGTTAAAAGTTTATAAGCCAAGCAAAAGGACGGTCAACTGCATCATGTCACTCGTCTTGACCCTCAGATGGTCGAAGGAGCACCACTTGAAGGTCGTCAAGATGATGTACTGTCCTCCTCGATCGCATCATAACACTTGTGTATACCTTCGTGTCGCCGGATGAGGTGCCACTTAAGGGTCACCGCATTAGAGTTGTCGATTTACTTGTCACAACCTACCCTCCTCTTGCGAAATTTATGGTTGAACTTTTTTTAAAATAGATATTCAATTTATCAATGAAACAAAGGCAGCTTTAATCACCCATGGCATTAAGAAAAGTTCGGAAGACTCATCTAAAAATAGAAAATTTAATTTAACTAAAAAGATTAATTTGAAAAGTAATTAATGAAAAAATATGTCCAAAAGATCAAATAATAATTAAATTTAGCGAAAACTAAAAACTAAAACTCTGATTCTATACTCTATATTCAAGCTTGTCGCCCTTGATTTCAATCATCTGTCTACCCAATCTCTCTCGCTCCACCGTCTTCGTATCGAAGTTGCATCCATGTTTATCCTCAAATCTATGCATACGGCAAAACAAACCACCGCACCTGCACGGAAACCCTAACAACCCGACCTTCTTGTTGCAGAGTCCGCATCTGTTTTTTCTCGCCGGCGCATTCGAATCAGTTTCTGAACAACTCGGATTCATCGCAACTTCCGATTCTGAAACTTCAATACTCTCCAAATCCGATTTGAGCGAATCATCGAAGTCCTGACGCCGTTGAGAAACTCCATCGGTTTCCGTTGGGATTGAAATCAGATTTTCTTTAAGAAAATCAGTGTAGCAGATGGAACACAAGTTGCGAGTCTTCGGATTTCCAAAGAAGCCACAGTTATTGGCACAGAGTGGTGAATCGTCCGGATTCTCTGAACTTCCGAAACCAGCCATTAGATCTTCTTCTTCTTCTTCTTCTTCGTTCTTTCTTGTTCTTGATTTTGGTGGTGATTTTGCTGTTTGTGTTGATTTGGTGCAAGGGCGGAGTCGATTATATAGAGAGAGCGGCATGAAAAGATCACTAAAAGAACATGGAATTGGAAAATAGATCTGATCTTAACTATCTGAATCGAAAATTTGATGTTTATTATTTATCTTTTTTATAACTATTCCCTAATCTAAGAGAATTCAAATATTGTAAAATTACTTCTATAATTTTTCAAATCAATAAATATATTGACCCTAAATTATTTAAAATTGAAAGTTTTAGATTTTAAAAAATGGCACTTAATTGGGCCGCCCCACTAAAATATTTAGGTAAGTTGAAGAGGTGATTGACGTCTAAGCTTGTTTTAACATACGCCGTATGAATGATGATTTAGTTGTCAAGGTAGACATAAGCTCGATACTCCGACATCAAACTGTTGGCGTCAGCTCCTCGTTAATGTATCACAAAGTATTGTGAGAAACCATAGTATGTCAATTCTTGCATCGATTACCTCAAACATTGAGTCTAGTTAGTCTCTTTTTATCCGCACCCCTCCTAGAGAGGCTGCATGCAGTAAGCAATAGCATGTAGTTCTGTAGTTATGAAGGCAGATGGAGAACCAAAAACAAAATTAAAGGGGGGAGGAGACAACAATGGAAATAAAATGACCAATTAAATATTTATTAAAAGAAAAAACAAAAAGAAGAAGAAGTTAAGAATTGGAAATAATTACAAAACTAATATGAATTCTCCTAACCCAAATTCCTATTTTTAAAAAAAGAATACATCACGGCCAATTACAAACTGCAACAAAGTAGATGATCTCCAACAATTTCTGAAGCCAAATGGTTGTGATCAGATAGCCAAACCAGGATGTTCTATCCCATGTTTGATATTAAACCAACGGGAAGAAGGCAGTTTTGGTTCTTCAAAATTTCAACCCAGCTTCTGGTTTTCTTTATAGGAAGCTATGAAATGGGCTAATTGATCTGATCATAAAAGCAAGAAAAAATGCTGGTAAGATCACTGACATTTTCCTGTTGCAAGAATTAAAGATGGAGGACAGACATGTCTCAACTTCCCAACTTCTTGGAACTCAACATCATTTCATCAAACCTTTCCAGGGTAAGAGAGTGATGATCATAAAAGACGCCCAATATGAACACAGAACAATGATGTCAGTCTTGAGCCTGAAAGAAATTAACATCTGCTCCCAAAAGAAAGGTTTTTGTCATCTGAAATTCTAGGGTCGATTTTCTATTTCAACAGCTAAAGCCAACGAGAACTCAACTGGGAGATTTGCACGTAACGGCCATTTTTCTAATCCTTTCTATAACGATCAATAAATCCTCTCGTGAAAGTGTAGTGAAACAACATCTAAACCATCCAGGTTCTATGCAATGACAAGCAGATCCAGGAGTCGCGTTAATTTTAGCTACATTCAGCAGCTTCTCCCATAATTCTAGCTCCCCTTTCTCACTATAAGAATTCATCAGTCCACTCATATCAGCCCAGCAGTAAAAACCAGCACTGCTCTTTGCACACTTGATTCCCAACTGTTTCAAACCAGCCACGAAAAGAACATGCATCTCGCGAATCCTCTTTTTGCTCGTCTCCAGGTATTCATTAACGAAGGTTCTGTCCAAAAGCATCAAGGTAACAAGCTGCTGGGTTGGTGCGGAAATCGGGCAAAATCTTGCCATTTTTCTAGCAGCAGCCAAAACATTTTCATTTTGTGAATAGATGACACCAACTCTAAGGCCAGGAAGAGAGAGGTCTTTCGACAGTCCATACACTATATGAACTCTATTCTTGTCAATATCTTCTGAATCAATCATTTCAGCCATGCTCACAAACTCGTCGTTTCCATAAACTGACCCTGCAAATATCTCATCAGATACAACATGGATATTCTTCTCTTGGGCAAAATCTAAAATACTGTACAGCATTTCTCGGGGCAACATGTTGCCAACTGGATTTGCAGGGTTAGATAAAAGAACTCCCCGAACTTTTATTCCTCGCTTCCTTGCTTGATTGTATGCTTGCTCTAGTACAGTGATGTTCAAGTTAAAGTTGTCAGCACTACGACAGTGAACTGGTATTAAATCCACTCCAGTTCTCCACTTCACATCTCTATCAAAACTGCATACAACTTTTCTAATTAATTATCGCATACCTAGGTATCTAAACTGCTTTTTGTGACAACGTTTTTTTAATAAAAAAAATCAAATGTAGTTCAGGAGCTACTAACCCAGGATAATAAGGAGTTGGAATAAGAAATGCATTTCCAGGGTCTGCTAAGCAGAAACAGAGTACCTCGACCGCGGCAGTGGCACCAGATGTTAACAATAATTGTGATGGATCAAAAGCCACTCCACCACCCATTACCTGAGACATGAAACCTGCCATAGCCTACAGTAATTGAACTGATTTCAAGACATGAACCTGGAACTGAATGCTTAATAACTCTATAGTACCGATTAAGAAAGTAATACAACAAAAGTAATATTCAATATGAAAAGGGGAATATAGCACAAGTTTAAGGAAGGTCAAACAGCAATCCACTTCTTGAATAAGGCAAAAGGACAAAGAACTGTCATGTCACCAATAAATCCTAGGTAAGAACAATACGATTGATTAAGAAATAAAGAGCAATAAGGCTTAACCTTTAAGATTCCAAGCTTTTAATATCTCAATACATACCCAAGAATACGAGTTCAGCTTCAGCATCAGTTTTAACTTTTAACTTTCATTACATTGAGCCCTTCAAAGCCCTTTAAACAGTAATGCAGCTATCAGGAAAAGAAAGCAGGACATGGATAACAACATATATTGCATTTCACAGATGAGTTTGGATCGTAAACTTCAGAGCTTGTAGAGAGAGAGGAGGTTAGACACGAACGCAGACATTGTAATATCAATTTCAAAACACTTGGGCAAGTTAAGCCACATTCATTTTCACTTCGGGACTAAACATTCCAACACTAGGGAATCGAGAGCTTAGAGCCAATATGCGTTTCCACCAAAAGAATATAGCTGAAATAGACAATAAAAATAAATAAATACCATTTTCAGCTCCCACAATCCATCGAAAGGCTGGTAAGTAGTCATCCCCATAATATTCAACTCGACGCTATTGCCTCCACCAACGGAACCAGTATAATTCTCCGATATCCATTTCTCAAGCAAATCAAAGCACAACTTCAAGCATAGAAAACAAAATAACAGAGTATTAAAAAAAAAAAAGAAAGGAAAAAGAAAATAAATCTCAATTTGAAGAACAAAAGAGTTCGAATCAAAATAGAAACGGTACCCTATTCTCGGACAACCCAAGCTGAATAATCCCATTCGGATTATCCAACCTATCGTAAGGATCCTCCCGAACGCGATCCAATCCAATATAGTAGGGGGAGTTATTGGGCTTCGCAATCGAACTGGCTCGAGAAGAAAGCCGAACTCGACCAACGGATCCGCGCGTTAGTAGATTAGAGCGAGAGGACGAGCGGTTGAGGTCGACGAGGTTAGAGGAAGAGTGAGAATGGGACGGAGAATTCGAGGAGGAGTCAGAGTTGGGAGAACGATTTCGCTTGAGATAAAGTTGGAGGAAGTAGAAGAGAGCACAGGGAATGAGAGAGCCCAACAAGAGACCTCCACGGCCTTGGACAACGCCTTGCAGAGGCACCACAAGCCTCATGACGGTGACTCCGCCGCGCTTTCAGATTTTCGGTATCAGAATTCGAATCTGAGCCCGAGCTCCAGGTCGTAGTTGGCTCACCGGAGACGCAGGTGGACGCCCGGCAGCGGAGGAGAAGTGAGGAAGTGATGGAGTTTTCAATTTGGTTGGTTTGGGTTTGGCAGATGAGCTTAAGGTTGGCTGCCGATGAAATGCCGTGAGTGACCCAAATCTAGTTTTTCTTTTTCTTTTTCTTTTTCTTTTTATTTATTAACCAAAATTGTAAGGCGAGAGTGAAAGGGAACCTAGGACTCTGGATCACGGAGATGAGTAGTAGCTCTAAATGACCGAAATACCCTTGGAAGTTTGTTGCAGGAATTATTTAATTATATGAATTAACATATAAACATTTTTGTCCACTTTATTTTTATCATTTTTTTTATGGATAACATATTGACGTTTTAACGCAATTAATTTTGAATTGACCAAAAAGAAACATTTAAATTCTATTTTATTTCAAATTTAATTTACTTCTGGAATTAAATAATAATAATAATAATAATCTCAGGAAATAGTTAAATTAAAACACTGCCATGTCTGTTTTCGGTAATTGATTTGATTCAATAATATGTCCAAAGTAACCCCTCAACAACACATGAGAATTCCTATATAATTAAATTAAGATTTCCTTCATATTTACAGCTGTGCCACAGAACGAACTCTATTTCCTTTCCTTGTTCATCATTCACTCCCAAAACATTTCTACAATTACGAGAACCCAATGGAGAAACAACTAAAAGGGGCATCCTATGAAAGAATGAATCTGCAAAACCATTGATCCATTAAGCCTCAGAAATCAGCTCTGATATTCACACACACACACACACAGAGGAGAGGAGGGAAGATGATGGGTAGTAGTAGTAAGTAGACTGACTTGTGTTTAATGTGGAGGAGTCATCACAACATTCTGTTATGTGCTTCAATCATTGATGTTTTCTCCTGCACATAGCAAAAGGAAGGGGAAATGGAAGTAAATAATAATGAACCAGTCTCCTCCCACTACTAACCATAACACACTTTGAATAACAGAGACAGAGACAGAGACAGAGACTGAGACCGAGACCGAGACCTCGCTTTGAATGATGTTTTCAGAGGGGAACCAATGCATGAGAACCCCTAAATTCAGCACAGCAGGTACCAATTTGAACACAAGAGGGGTGGTCACTAGACTAAGTGCTGTTGTTCCAAGAAGTAGCAGATAAACTTTCCCCTGCGTTAATTTTATAAAGTAAGATAATCATAAACTTCAGTAACGAATCAAATAAAACTGATAATCGATTGTTCGAGATGCATAACGGAGAAAAATGAAGATGTTTTATTGGGGGAGGGAACCACTGTTGCAAGAACACTATTTAAATGCCAGAGACCCATTACTACATCAGTGTTGCTTGAGACTTCACACTCAACTAAAAACGTGCTATGTGAAGGCATATTATCATCATATTTTGCCTGTGTCGCATAAGATATGAGGAAGCTATATGGATACATGCATTCATACCATACCTATAAACATACATATACAAACATATATATATATATATATATATATAGAGAGAGAGAGAGAGAGAGAGAGAGAAGAAACCCCAATGAGATGAAGATTTGAGGCACGGCTTAGGAGAACAAAAGCAAACTCTCCAATTTGAGCAAGCATGACTCCAACCTAAAAGTGAAGGTAAATAACAAGATTAGAAAATCATGATATTAAATTCTTCAGGAAAATCAGTTTCTAATAGGCCTACCTGAAAAGAAGTCCTTATACTGTATCCAAATGCCTTTGCAACAACGGTAACAACTGCTGTCTTCACAAACACAACCAGCATGACAGATGCTAGCAAAATATCCAAATGGCTCCACAGAAAATGTACATGAATGAGCATTCCAATACTCGAAAGGAACAAAGCTGCAAATAAATTGCGAATTGGTTCCACCTATAAAGCAAGAGATAGTCAAAACTATTTAAACATTCATGCCAATTTAATAGCTCAATCTACGAAGGAATATGCCGCAAGGCGAGCACTACTCAAAGAACTGGGAGTATGCATTGTAATTGGAGTACCTGATCTAAAGTATGTTGACCAAAGTCGGTGGTAGATATCATAACTCCAGCTACAAAGGAACCCAACTCAAGACTGAGTCCCAACTTATCACTGCACTGAAAAAGGTTAAAAATACACAAGTATTAAATCGATTTCAATAGGAAAATACAAAGCAATATACTGCAGTTTATGTCATGCTTCAGCAATTCAACAATTCCAGAAGGAGGTCCGGCTTTTCAAAAAAAACCTATTATATAATTCTATTTAAAACCATGTATATCAACTTTATTTCGTGACCTTTACAAGCTCAATATTCAGAACTTCAAATGCAGAATTAATTGTCCAAATAATAAATAAAAAAAAGTTAACAAAACAAAGATAGTACCAGAGAATTATTAACATCGAAATATGGCAGCAGTAGTTAGATTAAAACAAACAAACAAACAAACAAATGAATTTCATTTCCAGCTTTTCTACCTTTCAGGCATCCATATATCTCTTAGATTCAAACCCCATATTCTCAAAGTCTTTGAGGCCTCTAATCCAACATTCACAAGCACATATGCAGCAACTTCTTAATCCATTACAAAAATTCAAATTTTTCATCATGCTCATAAATGATCAGCTTAACTTTTAAGCTTCAGTGTTTAAACTCAACAATAAGCAAAAATCAACTCTACAAAGTAGGTTGAATCAATTAGTGCCCAGGGCACGGAAATTAGACATATGGCTTTACCCAGGCAGACAGCAAACAAAATGCCACAGCAGCAAGCTGGTACAACTCATTTGTCTGAATCACAGAAAAAGAAAATGATAAGCTTGCTAATCAGTCCAAAAACAAAGCTAAGGAAAGGACCCAGCTTAATGGCTCACTTGAGACGACAGCTGCATCATCAACTTAAGAAAGCGGGGAACAAATGACCACGACAAAATGGACGCGACTGTGAGATATACTGACAATACCAGTAGCCTGCGAACAGTGCACATTATAAGCACACAAAACATCTATAAGAAAGCTCAGGGTCAACAAATGAAGCAAGAAATAATATTAAAAGGTCGAAGGCACACAGATTAACTTACAACTTTCCCATAGATATCATTCCTAAAATAAGACCATTGTGACCACCCAAAACTGGGAGCAAGGCAAATAACAAACCAACGGCACAGTCCTGAATAAATCAGGATAGATATATAAAGATACAGCAGAAACTCAAGACCTCTATCCAATGTAAAATGCTATTTTTAAGTATAAATAATCCAAAAGAATGACGGGGGCAGAATAAAACCTGTAAGATAAGTGTTCCAATAGTAACCTGACCATGAAGAGTATTACTGCTATTCCGTTCTACCAAGAACTTCACCACCTAATAAAACATTAAGAAAATTATAATTCCACGCACATGGTGTTCAGTGATTTGGTGTGAGCTAAGGCATAACAGATGGTTCATGCAGTTAGAAACTGTTATAAAAGTTACCACTGCTGTAGATGACATTGATAGAAATGAACCGACAAATACACCCTCGGACAATTTAGCTCCACTTAACTGCATAAATGGCAAAAATGTAATGAGAGCTGACATCTAGGCAGGTGTTCAGCCTCACTCTTCCAACAAAAAAAAATAGAGATTTAGATATTACCATGGCAATTATGCCACATAAGAACATAAATATGATGATCTGTAGAAAACCTCCAAAAACAGCAACAGCCCCCACAACTTTTAACTGCATGAGAACATTATGTATAAATCTAGCTTTCTAAGACGGAGAAAATTGAACACATTTATTGAGTAAAGAAATAAAACTTTCAAGTAATGAATATTACCTTTGTCAAAGAAAACTCCAGTCCTAAAGCAAAAAGAAGAAATACAACACCAAATTGTGCCACTGTCTCAACCTGAGACAAAATATATGCTTTTAAGCATTGATAGAATTTCAAACATCTACAAGGGGCTTTTATTGGATGCATTCAAATGTGTACAAGAATGCAATTACTCGTTATATACACGTTTGAATAGGATAGATTTTATTTATATTTCAAAACTATAGAGATTCATTACAATGTGCAAAAAGGAGGAATCATAAAAATTTTGCACAGGAATGAGGGAAATATAGGGAAAGGGCGGTGATTCAAGAGTGGTGGTAAAAAAAATTTCCGTTGCAGCAGAAAAAGCTTTAAAATTTTCCAATAGAAAAAATGAGATGGAAGTGGTGAGAACAGAAATAATCTTTTAATGCAGCGCAAAAGCATCAATTTTTATGGCCCATAAACAATTGGAAGTGAAGTACACCACAATGAATTTTACAGAATACCAATAATATCTTAATTTTTAAGTTGATTTATAATGTTTAAAGTACCCATTTAAACTATATCATTCAATTAATATTCGATCCATCGCCAAATGACATAATTTAAGCATTTAAGCATCGCAGCAGGAGGACATTGTGCTATATAGATTAAAATCAGCAAGAATCAGCTAAAGCATATCCATTGCTACATGTATGAACAAACCTGCACCATTTCACTGATGAATTTTAGACCTCCTGGTCCAATAATTGACCCCGCAAGAAGATAGCCCACAATAACCTACATATAGTACAACAAATTTGTGATACTACTTTGCATACATTAGGTAGTGGACAATGCAATAAACTATTTTGAGCAGTAAGAGAAGTGAAATAGGTATAAAAAAAATGCAACACCAACCGGTTGGCCTAAACAAGAAAAGATAATTCCTCCAATTGCGGCAGAAACAATAACCACAACCAAGTCTGAAATCAGTCTGCAAGAGGGGAATACATGGAGCATGAAACATATCTCAACGACTTCAGCATAATTTTTTCTAGTGCAGCAAATTCAGAATGGGAAAGATAAAATCTAACCTCAAATCTACTTGAAGTACTGGATACTTTGATTTCTTGTTTGACATCACAAATACATTGTCCTGCAATCATGCAAGATAGACAAATTAACATTAAAAAAGACAAGGAAATCATACATTGTCCGTCGTAGTGTCCATTCAGCAACAGATACTAAGGCCTATTTAGAACTTACTTTTTTATCAATCAACGTCATAACATCATCAGATTCTTCATTTTCCAGAGAGAAAACATCCTGAAATTGGAATGCTCTAGTCCCACTGTCCAAAAACAGAAGCTAGCAAGTGAGAAATTTGTAGGAATAAAGTGCACGTAAGGATAACTCCAAATTTTTTTTGCAGACTGTATATAATAGAACAATTCAGAAATAAGAACAAAAGCAACTGTTTTGGTTCCATACTTTGCCTTTTGACTATCATTTTTCTTGCCCTTCTCATGAGTGATTTTGGCTACTGTCTCCAGTTCTGCCTGTAGATATAAGAAGTTAAGAGTATCCGACATTTGAGAAGTCAAATAATTTTTCAATAATATATGTCAGAGATGAGTTATAGTTATATTGGGAGTTGTTAGCTAAGATCTCAAAGACAAACTTTTCTAGCAAATAAACTTATCAAAATCTTATAAGAGAGGAAGGGGACTTGACTGAAATTTAGTCATAGAGAGCCAAGTTTGACAACAGTTCTAGAGCATATGATAACAATTGCTAAATACAACATGCCACAAACAAATAGTAGATTGTAGACTAGAGAAGATATCTTTCAGGATCTCTACATCTTGAAAGTCCAAAGAAAAATGAATACTGTCGATGTCTCAAATGCATTTCCCACACAACCCACGTTGGAGACATGAACAGAATTCCAAGCAAAATAAGAAAAAAAGGCCCAAAACTAACATGAAGAGGTCTAAACATATTTCAAGCTTTATTTATTTCATAGATATAAAACCAACCTCCTGATCAGCGACACTGTTATTAAAGCTGCTTCCGCTCGAACCTAGTAAAAGTCAGAGGTACAATCAAATATTAATTGAGCAGCTAAAAGTTGAAGAAAATGCAAAACAGAAAACGTTATAATTGTCGTAATTTGATCCATAAATAAATGAATGAACGGCCTATGAAAGAATTGAAAAAATAGAGAAATTAACAGTCTGGTTCCACAAAGAAAGTAAATTACAAAGCAAAAGGCCAAATCTACGTTTCACAGATTTCATTTTAAAATTTTCATGCATAGTCAATAGAATAAAAGACAAGACACTACAGAAAATAAGAAAACACCAATATCTCGTCTGGTTCCATACGAATTTGAAAATTCTGAAATTGCTACAAGCATTAGTTTCTTTCTAAGGCCACTTCAAGTGCATAAGGTAAAGAATATCTATTTGTATTATCTTCTTGGGTAACTTAAGAGTAAGGTTTTGAAAGGTCAGAAACCATTTGTTATCCTTTCAAAAATCATAGAATTAGAACTTAAAGAACCACTCTCTCCCTTGCGGACCATATCCGAACTCTAAACACATATTTATTCTCTCACAATAATTTCTCGAATCTCTTCGTATTTCTTCTTGCTACTCGATACATGCTTATCTGCTTATCTTAGAATTGGAACATATTTGTCTCTTTATCACTTTCTTATACCACATTCTTTCCTGATACCATACACTAAACACTACCTTCCTTTTTACAACATGACCACTGTATTTCTCATCGTACTCTTTTTAATTGCAAACCTTTTCTAACTACTGTAGCTCTATACACGATCTTGACAATAAAAATGGCTTCCTCTCACAGTATACAATTCTGTATACCACCAAACACACGAAGTTGACGTCAAAATGATCCAACACAGTAGATTTTCTCACTGTAACGTATTCCATTCTCTGGCTACTATACTCTTCCTATCTGCTTCACACTGCCTTTCTCTTCCAAATACACAAACTCCCTCTCAACAAACAAACAAAGGCTAAAAAATTATCAAACTTTGTATGATATTCTTTCTCAATGAAAAAATGGCTATCAATTTCCTTATCTATTATTCGATTTTTGCAACCAAAAAAAGTACCAAAATAAAACGGTAAACGTTTTTCTTTCTAAAGGAGTGATGATAAAGAGACCCGAAGTTGCAAACAGAAAGGGGAAAAAAAAAGACTCATAATCAGAATCAAACAAATCATCATGACTATATTAACTTGGTCCAGTAGAAGAACGTTCTTGATGTTTCTAAGTTCAAACAAAGCATTGAAATCTTCAACTGCCCTGTTCCTAGTCTTCCATGCAAAGAAAAAGAAGGGGAGGGGTGAGGGGAGAAGAGAGCTTAAGTCCCAAACCTTCAGGCAGATCATTGTCAGGGAACTCCTTCTCGAGCACCTTATCGAACATTTGGGCAATACTACCGTCACCGGAAATCGGTGCCGTTGAGTTGATCAAGTTTCCATAAAATCTTTCCCTAATTTCCTTATCCGATCTGGGTGAGACATGAATTTGCGCAGAAATTAAAACCAGAACGATGCAAAGCCATGATCCAATTGCTCCTCCTCTTCTCGCCATAAAGAACCGATGAAGCTTAACAAAGAAGAAAACGTATGAAACAGAAAGAAAGCTCCCTTCTCAAATTTGAAAATGCTTCGACTCCATTGAGGAGAGGGAATACGGTTAATTTCAAGTAATCTTTAGAAGAATGAAGTAAAGTACTGGAAACTTGGAAATGAATCCGATCGATTTTCGAATAATTTCTTTGATTATTCTCCAATGGGATCTTTTTGTTCGCTGGCGATTGTTGATTGCAGTTTGAGTGGCGGGATCGATGAAGATGGTGGCTTCCGTTTGACGAAGTTGTTGCATCGCATCGTTAGGTGTGGGGCATCACACCAGAAAACTCCCATCTCACGTTACACGCTTTACACTTCGCACGTGCGCTGCACCATCGGCACACAAATTGCTTCACGCTTTTTAAGAGTAAAAAGATATATTTTAAAAAAATGTTAAATTTCTCAAAATTTTGTAAATTGTGAATTTATGACCTAATAAATTCATTTTTTATATATATATATTCTCCAAAACGATTTTAAAAGTGAAATTAAATCCATAAAAGTCAAGCTTTTATGTTGATACAAAATATTAGTTTTTTTTTAAAATTTTTTTTAATAAATTAAATAAATAACGAGGATGATAAATTTATAAAATAATTTTAAAAAAAAGTAATATGGTTACTTTATTGAGGAAAATGTCATTTATTAATATATTTAGTCAAATTATACAAAATAATCTAAAACTTTAGGTTAATTTGAAGCATGTCTCTAGAAATTTCAGAAGTTTTTTTATTTATTATTATTATTATTAAGATAAGATCGAAAATTGATGTTGTGAATGACATTAAAAAATAATAATTTTGATCGTTCTTCGTCTAATAGATTTACGGAGGGGGAAAAATTGCAATTTTATTGAAGTCTGGAAAGGAAAAAGAGGGAACGAAGAAATGAAGGAGAAAGAAAGGAAGAAATGTTTGTTACTGTGTTCATTTGGGAAGGCAAATAAACCAAGATCGATCCATTTCACTTCCCGGATTTAATCGTCAACTGGCAATTCAAGGTTGAACCCTATTTTTTTCGTTTCTTCTACTTGTTTTCTCAGCTTTTGATCCTACTTTCCATGGAGTGACAGATTCTCATGAGAGGATTGTTTTCTGATTGAATCTGATATGTTGGGATTTCGCATGTGTTATTTGTTTATTAATCTAGAGATATGAGTTGCTATACAAAATCGAAGTTTGCGATTGATGCCTTTCGGAGCTTGTCTTCGAAGATTTTCCCCAAAGATTCAACTCGTGATTGTGGATCAAGAATTTCCCGTAGTGGCCATTGGTTTAAGGCTCAATCGGCTTCTCCAATCATACAAAGATTTGGAAGACAAGTTGGAGAGAATAGGAAGCTATGCAATCCCTTTTTGGGTGGTTCGAAGAGATTTTACTATGTCGATCGCTATCGCGTCGAGCATTTTAAGCCCAGAGGACCTCGGCGATGGTTTGAAGATCCGAGGAACTTATTGATAGTTGTGATTGCGGGTTCTGGAGTTTGTGTGACAGTGTATTATGGGAATTTAGAAACCATACCTTATACCAAACGGAGGCATTTTGTGCTGTTATCGAGAGCTATGGAGAGGAGGCTTGGAGAGTCGCAATTTGAGCAAATGAAGGCAGCCTTTAAGGGTAAAATATTGCCTGCTGTACACCCAGAAAGTGTGAGGGTAAGATTGATAGCTAAGGATATAATTGAGGCATTACAAAGAGGGTTGAGGCAAGAGAATGTGTGGAGTGATTTAGGCTATGCATCAGAGGCTGTGATGGGAGCCCCTGAAGGTAGTGGCCATGAGACATTGATGGCGCTTAGGAGTTCTGGGGCTGAGAAGATGGAAGATAAATGGTACGGCGAAGACGAGATTCTTGATGACAAATGGGTTGAGAGCTCTAGGAAGAAGGGCCAGGAAAAGGGTTCCCAAGCAAATACTTCACATTTGGATGGATTGAACTGGGAGGTTTTGGTGGTGAATGAACCGGTTGTTAATGCATTTTGCTTGCCTGGTGGGAAGATTGTTGTTTTCACTGGCTTGCTCGAGCACTTTAGAAAGGATGCAGAAATTGCAACTATTATTGGTCATGAGGTACGTATACATTATACGATATCGAAACTCAAAGACAGTATCGAAAGAAAGCAAGAGGTTTTTTCTTTCTTTTTTTCGATATCTATAAGATCAAGATCAAGTTGTTTATTGCAAACGATCGATCCATGAATGGTTAGAACATACATAAGACTCAACATTATTAAACTTGAGAATTTTAGAGGAGTATGTTAGGAATCACGAACCTCCACAATGGAATGATATTGTCCACTTTGAGCATAAACTCTCATGACTTTGCTTTTGATTTTCCCAAACTGACTCGTACCAATGGAGATGTATTCCTTACTTATAAACTCATGATCAATCCGTTAATTACCCGATGTGGGACTCCTCTCCCAACAATCCTAAACAGAGTATCTCCCAACAATCCTCAACAGAGTATTGTGATGCTATATAAATGTTGTGAGTTTGAACTTCAATTGTTTTCTTTTATTCGTCCACCGTATCGAGTCAATGGCAAGTAGGCAACATCTTCTTTTGACATCAATATCCATATGCAAGTTTTCATTTAGCCCACTGCCTCTATGATCATGGGATTATCTTTAAGAATCCTGGATGGGTCTTGTTTTAAGGTCTTGTTTTCATTCATTAGGTTGGGCATGCTGTGGCTCGACATTCTGCTGAGGGTATTACGAAGAACCTGGGGTTTGCCGTTTTGCAACTTATCCTTTATCAGTTCATCATGCCTGATATTGTCAACACTATGTCAACTCTTTTCTTGAGGCTTCCTTTCTCTAGAAAGTAAGTTCAGAGTTTTTTTTTTTCTTTATTGCTTTCTTGGTTGTATTGATTTAGTATAGTTAATGGTTAGATTTTCTTGTTTCGATTGTTTCAACAGGCGTGTATGTACGCGTATAAACATGTTATTTGTCGTTGTCACGCTATCTCTTATTTGTTCAATGAATGTAAATATTGACTTGATTGAACAAATACTTGATGGGAATGGCTGTTCCAACAATCCTCTAGCATTACCTTCCCTCTGAAGAGCTCGTTTTTCATTTACTTATAATCTCGAGACATCAAATTACCAGGCATCGATCATTCCGAGAGAATTAAAAAGGCCTAGTACATTCCTCATTTTGGTCTTGGTTTTTTATCTATTAAGCATTCTACAAACTATGTTAGTTCAAACATCTGATAATACTTGAAGGGTGATATCTCAGTGATTCCTGAGGAGGATTTTGGATTAGATCAGAGCTTGTGCTATTTTTGCCTTTAGACAGAAGCATTATAGAGAGAGAAGTGTTGCCTGTTCTTCATTATTATCTAAACAGTTCAATTCCCTGAAGTACTCCCATCCATCTACTCATGGGTTAGGTTCACAATCTGATATTTTTGAACATTTTGATGCCTTCAGGATGGAAATGGAAGCAGATTACATTGGTTTGCTTTTGATCGCCTCCGCTGGATATGACCCGAGGGTTGCACCCGCCGTATACGAGACGTTGGGTAAGGTCACTGGTGAGTCCGCACTAAGAGATTATCTCTCTACTCATCCATCTGGAAAGAAGAGGGCACAGTTGCTAGCCCAAGCCAAGGTTATGGAGGAAGCCCTCACTGTTTACAGAGAAGCAAGAGCCGGACATGGGGTTGAAGGCTTCCTATAAGACTCCCAAAACTGCGCTAGAAACTTTGAAATAAGTTCATATGGATTGGAAAGAGAATGGCTTCTCTCCTCCATTGTACTGTTTTTTAGCAATGCCAGTATTGTTCTGTTAAAGCATGATATCAAATTGTAATTCATGGATTTCAACCATGATCAAAATGTTTTAATGAATTTTGGGTATTAATTTGCTTTGGACTCCTCTCTTAGAAACCCCTTCGATGCCTTCTACGTTGAAACATAACGATTCTGGCCACTCGATGAGGAAGGTCTGGGGACGAGTGACAACCTTCTTCGACTAGTGACAACCGTTGATAACATGTAATGGCCCAAACACACTATTAGCAGATATTGTCCTCTTTGGACTTTCCATTTTAGGTTTCCTCTTCCTCTTCTTTGGGCTTTCCTTTTTAAGCTTCTTCTCAAGATTGGTTTCTTTGGACTTTCTCTTTTAAGCTTCTTCTCTTCTCAAGATTGGTTTCTTTGGACTTTCCCTTTTAAGCTTCTTCTCAAGATTTTTAAAACACGAATGTAAAAAAAAGGTTTTCATACCCTAAAAACACTATAAAATGCGGCTGTTACAGAAAAGTTTTCATGCCTTTATAAATGTTGTTTCATTCTACTCTTTACGAATGTGGGATATCACAAATCATCTCTAATGTCCGACGACATTCGTTTTTACTACCAACGGCACCTCCAACAACCATTTCTAGTGGGATTGGTTACAATGGTGGACCGATCATAGCATTAATTTTCATTACAAACTCAAACTATGAACTAGTCATTTTAATTACAAACTCAAACTTCTCAGTTCATACTGTTTTCTTTTTTGGGTCGTCAAAGTTGAAAGTTGGTTTACTTGATTGCCAACCATTTATATTTCAACGAATCTTTCTACAGAAAAATTATTAGTGAATTATGAGCGAGAGAAATTTTGAGGAGTCAACGGAGAAAGCTGATGATTGCAGAGGGAGATTTGAAGGTCGGGGAGGTTGTAACTAAGGAGCAGGCGGATAGCAATAGGTCGGACAGAGAGTATTGACTTCAAATGGACAGATATATAGAGAAGAGTGTCAAAAAGGCATTAAGTATGGAAAAGGTGGGGAGATGGATAAAAAAGAGAGCATTAAGTATGTATGAAGATAAATATAAAATAAAAGTGATCTTTCTCCTTTATGGCTCAACGATCTCTCTTTCTTTTACCTACTCCATTTAATACACTGTAATTCATTTCCTATATATATATAAACACTGTAAGAGTGTTCTTTACCTCCAAAACCAATGGAATCAGCTCCCAAGGTCAGCCATGGCGGCATTGCCCTCCAATCCGCTCGATTAATGACTCACCTAAGCTTGACATTCTTCCAACTTCAACACTTTTTCATTCTCACCCTTGTCATTTCCATTGAATCTCATATTTTCTTAAAAGGATGGAATCCCATGTTCCATCTCTTCTTCCTTTTCTCTTGTTTTGTTATCTATATGATTCTCAGGCGATTCTTCTTGAATGCTCCTCGTTCTGTCTATTTGGTTGACTTCTCGTGTCTTAAACCACCAAGCTTCCTCAGAGTTCCCTTTGCCACCTTCCTTGAAAATGCCACGTTGATGGGTATTTTTGACAGCGAGAGTCTCAATTTCATGGCTAAGACTCTCAAATCTTCTGGACAGAGTGAAGAAACATGTCTCCCTCCTGCTCTGCATTTCATTCCACCCAAAACCCATCAACAGGAATCCATTAATGAAGTCCACATGGTGCTATTTCCAGTTATGGACGATCTTTTAACCAAAACCCATCTCTCTCCACATGACATTGATATTCTCATCGTTAACTGCAGTGGCTTTTGTCCTTCTCCTTCCCTCTCCTCCATAATTATCAACAGATACTCCATGAGAAGCGATATTAAGAGCTTCAATCTCTCTGGAATGGGGTGCAGTGCAAGTGCTGTGGCCATTCATTTAGCAGAAAATCTACTTCAGGTTCACGAGAACTCAAATGCCGTAGTGCTCAGTACTGAAATTCTATCAAACGGTTGGTATGCAGGAAAGGAACCCTCCAGATTAATTCTGAACTGCTACTTCCGCATGGGCGGTGCAGCTATTCTGCTCACCAACAGAAAAGAGGCGAAAGATTATTCAAAATACAAACTATTCAAATCACTTCGAACCCTGACATCCTTCGACGATAAGAGTTACCTTTCAGCCATGCGGGAAGAGGATAAGGACGGAAAACTCGGGGTGTCTGTGACACGAGACACGCTACAGGTTTTCCCAGAAACTCTCCGGATAAACATAACCCTTCTTGGTTCATCAATCCTGCCATTATCTGAGAAACTAAAACACGTGATTTCGAGGCTACGGAAGCGATTCTTGGACAAATCCCAAGAAATTTACATACCAAATTTCAAGACTGTGATCAATCATATTTGCTTGCCGGTATCAGGAGGTGCAGTGATAAGGGCGATCGGGAAAGTTCTGAAGCTGAATGATAAAGACCTGGAAGCGGCATTGATGACTCTGCATAGATTTGGGAACCAGTCTTCCTCTGCGTTGTGGTATGAACTTGCGTATTTCGAAGCAAAAGAAAGAGTTAAGAAAGGAGACAAAGTTTGGCACATTGGGATGGGTACTGGGCCCAAATGTGTTAGTTTGATCTGGGAATGCATCCGGCCCATTTCCGGGGAGTCCAAGAATGACCCATGGGCCCAAGTCATCCATCATTATCCCATCTCAGGCCCATCAACCTAGCGCTGCAGAACTTTGGGACATTAGCGAAGCAATGATAGTATATTTTTGAAAAAAGGTCTAAAGCTTAGATTTGAGAGATATCCATTGTAATATGAAATAAATTAGTATTTAATATCTTTCATCTTTAAATTTGAACCAATTAAGTACGGTATTTGGTAATGAATAATAATTTAGTGTAGTGTAATTTAGCTCTTTTAATTCGATAGTCTAACCCATTAAAAGGAAATCATATAACAGCTAAATCTCACCGTTAGTAGGTATTGTTCGTTTTGGCTCATTAAATATCAACCTCACTGTTTTAAAACATATATGTTAGGGAGAGATTTCCAGACCATTATAAGGAAACGGATGTAGGATCTAATGAGTGTAGTAGACTATTCAATTCATACAACTTCATAAAGCATCTCCTAAACAACAAAACATAAATCCAGTTTCACCCATGAAACCAAGAACAAAAGTTCAGCTGAATAGAGAATGACACACAGAAATTCTCACCTCAAACAAGAGATCTCCACTCAAAATCTACCTTAAACATAGTTCCAACACTTCCAGAACCAAATCCTAAAACAAAAGAATTCTAAGGTTGGAGACCAATCTATTCAGAAATCATGCCATAATTGGAGTCGATAGAGCTCAGCAGAGAGGAGTATGGGCCTCTTGCGTTATCAAATCATCATAATGTTGCTACATAACCTCAACATCCTTGTAAGGGTATTAAACAAAACATAAGAGAAGATCATTCTTGCGAAGGTGTCGAAAATAACAAGAATTGCAACAACAAAAGAAAAACATAAACAGCTTACCAGCGAGGGAACCAATTTGTGGGGAGGAAGGCGGTGGTTTGCAGCGGCAGAAGAAGGTCAGGGAGACTTGGTTCTATTTACGATAACATATCATACCTTATGCTTTCTGAACATCAAATGTTGTGAGGTTAGATAATTGTCTGTCTTAGAAGAGTCTAAGAACTTTTCAGGGAAAAAAACATGCAAATATATCAAGAATCATCCTTAAACTAATGTCTATGAAGAAAGCACATGTATTACTTCAATCATTTTAGGCTTTACGGGTAGGCCATATATAGCCTCCATGTGTTACTTTCTAGGAGGTTTTTAGAAAAGTTGAATGAGAGTTTAGAATCACCCAAGTTTTGAGAACATCAAACTTGTGGGGGTGAGCTACTCATATCACAAATTTTGAAACCCCTACGATACCAGCCTAATGTTAAAAGCTAACACATTGATGCAGCTTACAGGAATTTGAAGGAGAAAATAGGGATTGGGTTGATGACTCAGAACTAAGGGAGTTCAACAGGGTGAGATCCAGAATGGAGATAGGTCAACTGACCTGACTTAAGCTCTCTTTCATTCAATAATGTCTCTGCTTCTCAATGGGCACAAAGAGAGGGTTTTCAAATCATCGTGTTGCTCACTCAAACACTTCATTATTAAACTTTTAACATGGTTGAATCCTTCTTCGTTTTTAAATTCTATTGTATGATAAAACAATAAATGAGAATATTTATACTAGAGTAGTACTGTAAATTGTAGAAATTTTCTGAGTCAAATTCCTAATTGAATTCACTCCATTCTTCCATGTTATGTAGGGGACATCAGCCATAACTTCCATTTCCTACTAGTCTCACACAAGTTAATTGGCCACCTCTCCTTTGGTGGAAAAAATAAATTTCTCAACTTCTCACTTCCCCAACTATATCTATTAAACCATCATCCACACAATAAAAAAAATATATATCTTTTAGGCAACTATGTTTGTTTCTTTGAAGTTTTAAATTATATTACAATATTTGAACAATTGAGTTTCTTTTTGCAAGATTTGAGCGTTAAGATGTCTTAAAATTTCGCATCCAAATTGTAAATGGTGTTTTTAGATTTTTTTTTTCAAATGAAAAATATATAATTAATTCATAGTAAACTTTTTGGTATTTATTTATCTCATTATGAAATTATAATTTATTTATTTTTTTTCTTAATAGAGAGAGAGAGACTAGATATTATTAAGAATCCATCATAAAAACTTAACATAACTTTTGACTCTCCTACCAAATAAATTAAAGATGGAATCTATAGAAGAAATAGTAGAGATGAATAATTACACTACATATAATCAATATGCTTATTAATTTTTACATGCATATATCTACCTATGAATGATATAATTTATGGTTTCAGTCAAAATGTATTAGAATGGTTGTGTAATAGCCCAAGCCCACCGCCAGCAGATATTGTCCTCTTTGAGTTTTCTATTTCGGGCTTCCCTCAAGATCTTTAAAATGCGTCTCCTAGGGAGAGGTTCCACACCCTTGTAAAGGATGTTTTGTTCTCCTCTCCAATAGATGTGGGATCTCACATGTTGTCATAATGAAAGATAAGTAAACTTGGATTAAGTGACAATTTTGACTAAATTCAAGTATTAGGAATGAATTAGGCTCAACATTAGTAGATATAAACTTCTACTTCTTTTATGGGCAAACTTGTGTCTATTTGTTCAATATAGCTCAACCACAAGTTACATTATCGGATAGATGGTGTGAACTACTAATTGCACTCTTAACAATCCTTGTCTCGGACCATGTTTGTTAAAAGATATCATCTACAATATTTTCTTAGGCTCACTACTCTTTTTTGGCACTTATGGTCCACTAATACAACTAAGTCTCTAACACAAGATTCTTGATACTTCGGGTGAGGATAAGAAATATCTCTATATTTCTACAATAGCTTGACATTTGATAGCTTTACACAATGTTATCCTGACTATATACCACAAATCTCCATCTCTTTTAAAGAGACCAGTGGGCAATGTGACATTTATTGCATCTCCAAGAGACCATGGAGAGCGTCAACTTGTCTTTTTAAATGAAAGGAGCGACGTCTAAGGAGACCTATATTAACTAAGGAGCAGTGGGAGAGAGAATAGATAGACAGATAGCATTAACTATATATAACGACAGATAAAGAACGAGTGGGTGCTTGTCTAGCAAATTGTAGCTCATACAACTCAAATGTATTTCACATAAAGGGTGAGCAAGTGGTCGCAGTTAAGGCAAAAACTGATTAAAAAAAAATTGACATTTCCACCGAGATTAGTACGATGACTAAAATTAAACTTAAGCTTAATTTCTAGTGAATTCAAAAGGTTAACCAGATAAATTTGATGTTTACTAATCTACACATGTTTCAACAAAAAAATAAAGGCAACTAACGAGGGAATGAACATTTTTAAACCTTCAGGCTGTCGGCTGAATCCTCTACTATTTAAGTATTCTTTCTATAGCTTCTCAAAGCATTGAATTCATACTAAACAAGCCCTATGCATGCAAACAAACTTAATGGTTAAGTGAACTTAGATCTGCTCTACTCTCCAACAAGTTTGTGAATGACAAGGTTGATTCGACTTTAACTACTTTATGGCCCCTCTGGTTTCCCTGTAGTAACTTTACAATTATATGTTTATTCTTTCTTCACCTACTGCTTTTAGTACTATCATTTATTCTCTATATATAACGGCAGTAAGAGCATTTATTTTCTATATATAATGCAGTAAGAGCTCAGTACATTTCAAACTCAAAGTGCATACCTGCATGCCATTCAGGTTCCCGTTTCTCCATCTCCACCGCACCCCTGCTCCATAACCAATCAATGGAATCTGCTCCTAAGTTCAGCCATGGCGACAATGTCCTCCATTCCAAAGAATTATTGGCACATCTTCGCGGGACTCTATTCCAACTTCAAACCTTTTTCGTTCTCATTCTCATAATTTTCGTTGAAACTTATATTTTCCTAAAAGGATGGAATCCCATTTGTCATATCTTCCTCCTACTTTCTTGTTATGTTGTCTTCATCATCATTAAGCATTCCATCCTGAAGGCTCCTCGTCCAGTCTATTTAGTTGACTTCTCATGCCTTAGACCACCAAGCTTCTGCAGGATTCCCTTCTCCTTTTTCCTTGAAAATGCCACGTTGATGGGTATTTTTGACAGCGAGAGTCTCATTTTCATGGCTAAGACTCTCAAATCTTCTGGACAGAGTGAAGAAACATGTCTCCCTCCTGCTCTGCATTTCATTCCACCCAAAACCCATCAACAGGAATCCATTAATGAAGTCCACATGGTGCTATTTCCAGTTATGGACGATCTTTTAACCAAAACCCATCTCTCTCCACCTGACATTGATATTCTCATCGTTAACTGCAGTGGCTTTTGTCCTTCTCCTTCCCTCTCCTCCATAATTATCAACAGATACTCCATGAGAAGCGATATTAAGAGCTTCAATCTCTCTGGAATGGGGTGCAGTGCAAGTGCTGTGGCCATTCATTTAGCAGAAAATCTACTTCAGGTTCACGAGAACTCAAATGCCGTAGTGCTCAGTACTGAAATTCTATCAAACGGTTGGTATGCAGGAAAGGAACCCTCCAGATTAATTCTGAACTGCTACTTCCGCATGGGCGGTGCAGCTATTCTGCTCACCAACAGAAAAGAGGCGAAAGATTATTCAAAATACAAACTATTCAAATCACTTCGAACCCTGACATCCTTCGACGATAAGAGTTACCTTTCAGCCATGCGGGAAGAGGATAAGGACGGAAAACTCGGGGTGTCTGTGACACGAGACACGCTACAGGTTTTCCCAGAAACTCTCCGGATAAACATAACCCTTCTTGGTTCATCAATCCTGCCATTATCTGAGAAACTAAAACACGTGATTTCGAGGCTACGGAAGCGATTCTTGGACAAATCCCAAGAAATTTACATACCAAATTTCAAGACTGTGATCAATCATATTTGCTTGCCGGTATCAGGAGGTGCAGTGATAAGGGCGATCGGGAAAGTTCTGAAGCTGAATGATAAAGACCTGGAAGCGGCATTGATGACTCTGCATAGATTTGGGAACCAGTCTTCCTCTGCGTTGTGGTATGAACTTGCGTATTTCGAAGCAAAAGAAAGAGTTAAGAAAGGAGACAAAGTTTGGCAAATTGGGATGGGTACTGGGCCCAAATGTGTTAGTTTGATCTGGGAATGCATCCGGCCCATTTCCGGGGAGTCCAAGAAGGACCCATGGGCCCAAGTCATCCATCAGTATCCCATCTCAGGCCCATCAACTTAGATCTTGCACTGTCCACTTACCTTATTATTACTATTATTATTAATTCTATAAACTCACTTTAATACTGCGGTGAATTATGCATCTATTTTATAATGTAGCATGAAAAGCCTTGTACCCTTTAGTTTTCTGCTAATCGTATGCATGACGTAATTTATGTATTTAGTGAGGTAAAACGACTTCATAAAACAACATCACGAGCTTATATATTTAGAAAATTATCTTAAAATCAATACAACTAAAATATTAAAATAAACATAGGTAATTAAAGAAAATAAAGAAAATAACACGTTCCTATACTAATCTAAGATCTACAAAATTAAACACTATTACACTATGCAAGTTTTACGATCTTTAATTAGGATGCCACCTTCAGTTGTATAGGACTCTTTGCCTTTATTTTAAATATAAAAAGTAGCACATGATTTGAGTATTTTATCAAACACCCTCGTTTTAATAGATATTTGAGTTAAATTTATTTCAAAGAATACTCGTATAAATATTTTGATAAAATAAGGAGTTAATGTAGGTAAATAAAACATAAATAAATTCATAATATAAGACGAAGGAAGGAAGGTATGTGGTAGTAAAAACAGGGGACCATTATACATAGCCAAATTAACTTCTCACCACCAATACTCCCAACCCCTCTTCAGTTTTGGCATTCATGAAACAACCACCACTTTCATTTATTACCTACCTCCATTCCCCAATATCATCCCCCTCAACGTCCCCTCTTTCTTTCTTTCTTCTTCTTGTTCTTCCATGGCTCATACTCCTCTGCAATGGCTCTGTCTTCCTCTGTTTTTCCACTGTTTTCTTCTCTCAAGCGCCCAGTTTTTCAACACCTATGTTGTTCAGATGGACAGGTCTGCAATGCCGGACTCGTTCTCCGATCCTTTTGAGTGGTACTCCACTGTGCTAAGCAGTGTGGTGGTTGATAATCCTGAAAGAGAAGGTCAAGGTAATGGGGGAGGGGAAGACAGGATCATTTACAGTTATCAGAATGTTTTCCATGGAGTTGCAGCTCGATTGAGTGAAGAAGAGGCTGAGAGGGTCGAGGAAGAACATGGGGTGTTGGCCGTTTTTCCTGAGGTTAAGTATGAGCTTCATACGACTAGAAGCCCCAAGTTTCTTGGGCTTGAACCGGCTGACAGTAACAGCGCCTGGTCTCAGCAAATTGCAGACCATGATGTGGTTGTCGGAGTTTTGGACACTGGGATTTGGCCGGAGAGTGAGAGCTTCAACGATGCTGGAATGTCGCCGGTGCCGGCGTATTGGAAAGGGGAATGCGAGACAGGGCGAGGCTTCACGAAACAGAATTGTAATAGAAAGATCGTTGGCGCTAGAGTGTTCTACCATGGGTATGAAGCTGCAACGGGGAAATTTAACCAACAGTTGGAGTATAAATCGCCGAGGGATCAAGATGGGCATGGGACTCACACGGCAGCCACCGTCGCCGGATCTCCGGTGGCTGGGGCTAATCTACTGGGTTATGCTTATGGAACGGCTAGAGGAATGGCGCCTGGTGCTAGAATTGCCGCCTACAAAGTCTGTTGGGTTGGTGGCTGCTTCAGCTCCGACATTTTGTCGGCTGTGGACAGAGCAGTGGCCGACGGCGTAAATGTTCTGTCCATCTCTTTGGGAGGTGGGGTTTCTTCTTACTATCGTGATAGCCTCTCCGTTGCAGCATTTGGGGCAATGGAGATGGGTGTTTTTGTGTCCTGCTCGGCCGGCAATGGAGGGCCGGATCCTGTCAGTCTCACAAACGTATCGCCGTGGATAACCACCGTCGGCGCTAGTACAATGGACAGAGATTTCCCGGCCATTGTCAAGCTCGGCAATGGCAGAACAATCACCGGCGTTTCACTTTACAGAGGAAGAATCACGATTCAAGAAAACAAACAATTCCCAGTTGTGTATATGGGGAGTAATTCAAGCAACCCTGATCCGAGTTCGCTCTGTTTAGAAGGAACTTTAGATCCCCATTTCGTCGCCGGAAAAATTGTGATATGCGATCGAGGAATTAGCCCTCGGGTTCAGAAGGGAGTGGTGGTGAAAAACGCAGGTGGTATTGGGATGATTCTGTCGAACACGGCGGCGAATGGGGAAGAACTTGTTGCCGATTGCCATTTACTGCCGGCAGTCGCCGTCGGAGAAACGGAAGGCAAGGCAATTAAGCAATATGCATTAACAAATCGAAAACCGACGGCGACTCTAGAGATTTTAGGTACAAGATTAGGGGTAAGACCCTCGCCGGTAGTGGCGGCGTTTTCTTCCAGAGGACCAAATTTCCTCACTCTGGAGATTCTCAAGCCCGATCTGGTAGCTCCCGGCGTCAACATCCTCGCCGCTTGGACCGGAAAAACAGGGCCGTCGAGCTTGACAACGGATACAAGAAGGGTGAAATTCAACATTCTTTCAGGAACTTCAATGTCGTGCCCACACGTCAGTGGAGTAGCGGCTTTAATCAAATCGAAGCATCCCGATTGGAGCCCATCGGCGATCAAATCGGCGCTGATGACCACCGCATATGTCCACGACAACACCTACAAGCCTCTCAGAGACGCCTCCGCCGCATCCCCGTCGAGTCCGTACGACCATGGCGCCGGCCACATAAATCCGAGAAAAGCCCTAGATCCTGGTTTGGTTTACGAAATTAAACCGCAAGATTACTTCGAATTCCTCTGTACACAGGATTTAACTCCTTCACAGCTCAAAGTCTTCTCCAAACATTCAAATCGATCATGCAATCGCCTTCTCCTCAACCCTGGAGATTTGAATTATCCAGCCATCTCCGCCGTGTTCCCAGAGAAAACCACCGTCACCTCCCTGACCCTTCACAGAACCGTCACCAACGTCGGCCCTGCATCCTCGAGTTACCACGCGATAGTGTCTCCGTTCAACGGCGCCGCCGTGAAAGTCGAGCCGGAGAGGCTGAACTTCACAAGGAGATATCAGAAGCTTTCATACAGAATCACTTTTGTGACGAAGAAGAGACTTAGCATGCCGGAATTTGGAGGGCTAATTTGGAAGGACGGAAGTCACAGGGTGAGAAGCCCCATTATCATCACTTGGTTGTCGTCTTTTTGAATCCATTTCTTCCCCTGTTTCTCTCTTTGATCCGTTTTGGAGCTCATATCTTCAATCATCAAGTCTCAGTTCATGGCTTTTGCAATTAAATTTGCTACTAAATATCGATGTAGTATTACAACACAAATTAATGCCATGTTTATTTATTTCATATGCATTTTCTTAAAACCTTCCATTTTAGTGTGAAGATTATCAGATTGTGGGAAATTTAATATCAACCTATTTGCATGTGTTATTAATTTCTTCAAAATGAAGATTATCCGAACCAAAGTTTGTAAAATATTTATATCCTAGGCTAGTATGTGATGTCCTTTGTTAGGGAGGAGAACAAACCATCATTTATAGGGGTGGAAACCTTTCCTTATTAAACTCGTTTTAAAGCCTTGAGGGTAAGCCCGAAAGGGAAAGCTCAAAGAGAACAATATCTGCTACCGGTGGATTTGGGCAGTTATAAATGGTATTAGACCCGACGAAATGCTAGCCTTCTCAATGTTCTCTAAAGGGGGTAGACACTAGGCAGTGTGCTAGTAAAGACGAGAGTGGATTTGGGGGTAGTCCCACATCGATTAGAGGAAGTAAAGATTGTCATTGAGTACGTTGGCCATGAAGGGGGTGGATTGTGATGTCCCATATTGATTAGAGAGGAGAACTAAACATCTTTTATAAAGGTGTGAAAACCTTTATCTTAAAGTTTTTGGAGACAATATCGTACCATTCTACCTTTATAAAAAAAAAAATTCAAGAACACTCTCATCGTCTAGATTATTCTATAAATGTTTTATAATATTTAAAAAATATTAGAGAATATATTTGTATTATTTTACTAGAAAATCCAATATGTTAAAATGTTACCACAAATCTGTGATGTGATGTGACACATCATTTATAGAATTAAAAAGCAGCTTTATTCTTATATTATAATTATTTATAAGGAATAGCCGTATTGTTTGAACTTAGGTGTAATTAATTAAAGTTAGCAAGATTACAAAAATACCCATCCTTCTTTAGGACACACAATATTCAAATGAGTTTTGAACCACAAAGAATTGGCATGCTCCTGTCGCTTCACTACCTAACACTCATTGTAGAAATTTTATTTATTTTTATTATTTTGGAAATTTAAATAATTTTATTGTATAAAACAGTAGGTTGACGCGGGCATAATTTAATTAAAATGCGATATTTATTTTTTTTTAAGAAAGTTTAATTTGTATTATAAGCTTTAAATTTTACTAAAATAGACTATATACTTAATTAAACGTTACAATTCATTAAGGTATAAGACCAAACTCCTCTATTTAATTTTAAAATAGCTTTTATGAAGAAATGTGGGCAAAACTTGGCTGAAAGGGTACAAAAAGAAAAGGCTCTTCGGGATTGGAACCGTCACTTTCGCCGTCACCGCCACGTACCCAAATACCTATACCACCTCTTTAATTGGCCCTCTCCTTTACCGCCACGTGTAATTACTCTTATAATTAAAATTTTAAATTGTAGAGACTATTTTTAATATTTAAAATTATTAGGATGAGATTTTATATTATTTTTCAAAGACAATCCTTATAAAAATAATTATTAAATTATTTTTTTTTTTTTAAAGTTTTTGTGATGAAACATTTATTTTAGTAGGTGGTATATAGGAATTTAGTTTATTATTATTATTATTTTACTTGAATAACTGGAATCTACAGAGGTTACAACACTAAGTCTCTTCCTGTCAGATAGCTTTCTAACGTGTCAACGTTGAATCAGACACGTCACTATGAGTGTGCTGGTGAGATAAAATCACGCCACGTATACAGTATTTGCAAAAATAAATAAAAATTAAAAAGAAAAAACAGATTCCGAAAGTAAAGCCTAGTCGATGTGGGACCCATATCTATCGTTTGTGGCAAGCCTGGCGTGGGAGTTTCTGATTGATCCACCTGTGTCATCCTCGCAAGCTGGGCCTCCAGTTTTCAAGCACTTTTGACACGTGTCACAAGGGATAATTCTCGCGATACGATTAATTGACTGGAAAGAGAAAAGGAATTAGGGGAGAGGATCGTCATGGGTAACACGTGTCCTAACAGCATGAAATGGAGGTCGGGTAGGGCAGGTTCTGTAGCTGCCCGTAGAATTAGAGTTGCACGAGAGTCTCTCTTTTGTTCCTGGGTGGGAGGAAGAAACGAAGCGACACGTTTTCTTCTCAGCGAAATTCCGTAACGCATTCCATTACTTGCTTATACTATTAAACTTCGCTAACGATGATTATTCTTATCGTGAGATTCTCGACGGCGAGTTCCTGTTTCGGACGATTCCGATGACGGAGGTTTACTGTAGAATGCCAAGTGATGATTATATAGGTTCGCCGGCCAAATGCCGAGAGCGCCGGCGCCGTAGAATAGAAATGAGGCGATTAGCAGCAGTACTGTCGGCGAAACCCTCGCCATCGCCGTCGACCAGTCACCACCACCGGAAGGAGAACCAAACTGAGAGTTCCGGTTTTGAGAAGAAGCGTGTTCGGAAGACGGACGGCGGCGACACTCCGGAGGTTTTAACGTCTTCGTCTTCGGGGGAGGACGTGAACGCTGTAGTTGCTTCATCGTCGGTACCTCAGCCGGTGTTCGGGATGATGTCGGTATCTGGTAGATCACGTGAGATGGAGGACGCAGTATCGGTGAGCACGTGCCTTATTGGTCCAGAAAGGCGACTACCGGTGCATTTCTTCGCCGTCTATGATGGACATGGAGGCCCTCACGTAAAGTTTAAATTTTATTTTTCCAGAAAATTAGTAAATAGAGAAAAAAAAAAAATTGGAGGTGGAAATTACCATTGAGATCAAACTGAATTATCCTCTATAATGGCGGCATTGAGGGTTATTATCGTCATTATGATGGTCTAATGTGCTTTATTTCACAGGTGGCAACACTATGTATGGAGAAGATGCACGTGTTAGTACAGGAGGAATTGGCGCGCGTGGTGAATACGCGCGAGGAAACTGAGAGTATCGGTGGAGGAAGTAGCACGGAGGAGGAGGCGACTTGGAGAAGAGTGATGCGACGGAGCTTTGAGAGAATGGATGAAGTGGCACTCAATACTTGTGCCTGTGGGAGCGTCGGAGGCCAGTGTGCTTGCCATCCAATGGAGGTGGCTCTCGGCGGTTCCACCGCCGTTGTCGCTGTGCTCACGCCGGATCATATAGTCGTTGCCAACTGCGGTGACTCACGCGCCGTCCTCTGTCGAGGAGGAAGGGCCATTCCGCTTTCCAATGATCACAAGGTTTACTCTCTCTCAAGTCCTTCTCTCCCGAAAATTGTTGACGTAATCGTCGCCAGCTGTTTGCTCAACACTTATATGCTGTCAATTTTTGACGAAATGATAACGATTAAAGGATTGCTTGTCTAATCTTGTTGCTTCTATGATGCGATTAGACCATTTTAGCGTAAAAGAAATTTTAGATTGATTAGGTCTCCCTTACATTCTCATTCATTCAGCCATTTGTTCTTCTTTTCTCCAATTTTTTACTAATTTTGGGACACAAGCATAATGCTTCGCAAATTCTGTCCCATCCTTCTAGGGCTATGAATTCGTCGTAGTTATGTTATGGATGGCGACCCTGACGTGCTATAGTCATTCATACAACACTTGTTGCCCGACTCTGGCTATGGGGATCAGTTCTTCGATCTCGGTTTAGATTCGTTAACCCATTTGTATCACTGCGAAGAAAAGTGTGTAATGGTATCATTTAATATAACCTTTCTGCGTAAGGTTGAGTACTTCCATGAAGCTTGGTCTTTTTATTTTTTTTGTCTGAAGTACATTTAGATGGATAGAATGTTGTGTGAGCAGAAAATATATGATATTTTCTGCTTTCTCGAATTATTGATTCAGTGTTCTAATTTTGTTTGTCTACTTAATTTCAATGTGTATTATTGCATGATACATTTTCCAGCCAGTAGGTGTCTCATGATGAACATATAATATATTTTTTGTCTCACTATTTTGCTTATCCTAATTCTCAGCCTGATAGAATTGATGAACTAGCAAGGATCGAAGCTGCAGGAGGACAGGTGATTTTCATAGATGGAGCTCGTGTTAAAGGCATCCTTGCAATGTCCCGTGCAATTGGTAATAGTTTCTGCTATTATGGATGTTGAATATGTTATTATCTGCTTTTGTGGAGTTTGCTTAAACATTCCGACGTAAATTATAATGCTTCCAGTGTATGATTATTGCATATGGTCATCTACAGAAGTCTGATTTTGTTTTCAAGGAATTAAATAAACTTCTCACAGTGACACCGTCTAGGTAATTATGAGGTACACCTCTTGCTATTCACAAACTGATTGTGGTCGTGTTTAGTTTTGGTACAGTTCTATGCAATCTTCTTTGTCAAATCCTGCATTCTTTTCTAAGTTCGAACTTTGATTAGATTATAAGTTTCAAGGATTTCCTAAAAATTTGATTGTCATACTCTGTCGCTAGTGCAATATATATACATATATATATATATATATATGAATACTCTCTAGAAGAGAATGTATAAAGCCTTAAATGAATGGAAGGATTTAGATTCTGATATATTTTTTAGTGATAAGAATTAATAGATAAAGGGACTGTTGATTCACTGAGGTTATGTAGTGCTTGGATCAAACACTATTTCATTTTATTAGGTTGAGTCCATGGACAATTACAAATTGCGAAATGGATGCTCATTTGGAATATACATATGATTTGACAAAAGAGGTTTATGCTGTACGGTTCACTGTGTTTGCATTCACTTATAATATTCTGGACAACCTTACTTGAACAAGATTCATGCTATAAAGTTGTGTAAATGAGTCCTCGAGTTTAGGGGACGAAAAAATTTGTAACATTTTGAGTAAGATTGTTACTTCCTTGAATCTGAAGTCCACTTCTCACTCCCCATTTCATCTTGGAGCATTGGGCTTGCTGTAGCCTCGTGATTCTTCTGAAATGGGTTCCCTTACAACATTGCTTGGCAGAAATGTGAAGCATGTGATTTCTGAATGAAAATGCTTTATGTTGCATTTCTTCATCAACAGATTGCTAGCATGATTGAATGGTAGTGTGGATAAAGATTGGCAAAAAATTTCCTAGTAACTTCATAGAACACCCTCTTTGATGACTCAGAGGGTCTAAGAGCAAAACAGATTTTGAAAAAAAACTAATCAGATTGGAAATCTTTGTTGCCCTTAAAGTCATAATTTTCCTGAAGTAATTTGATTCAATGGGACAAGTTATTTTCTTCAAGGAAAGTTTTTAAGTACTGTACAGATCATGGCAGTTTGTTGGGAAAAAAAATTGAACAGGGTGATATTAGTTATGTGCATAATTGAGACTTTAAACCCTCGCAAATTTCCTTTCTTATAACAACATTACTTTGGGATTGTATGCTAACATTGCAATGTAATGCGGCTTTGACATGCTGAGAGTAGGGAAGATTCAGCAAATAAGTGTAAGGGTCAGTAATGTTTATGATTTTTCTTTGTGATAATCTCAATGTATGTCCCGTGATTTAGACAAATTTTCTTTTTTGTCTGACGGACCATTTCAAGAGTTTGAAGCATTTGGGTCTTCAATATGGATTCTAACTTCTTGCAAGTTGCAACTAGAATGACCTTATTAAATGTACGAGTCAGAGGTATATCTTCCTCTTGTGATGGAGTTCATGGAAATCAATTTGATAGTGGCAGAAATCTGCAGAATCGTGTCTTGTTGGCAAGTACCTCTGTTGGATCGTCACTCACTTTACTTGACAATATCTAATCTGTTTTGAACATGATTGGGCATTGTAAAAAAAAAAAAAAAAAAAAAAAAAAAAAAAAAGGAAAAGAAAAAGAAAAAAGGTTTGGAACTGGTCAACTGGTGCTTACCATGTTGGGCATGCAAAACTGTTTTTTCCCTTTCAGTTGGCTGTTGAATACTGGTCTATACCATCATTTTTGTTTGGTTTACTTGGGGATTGGTTGACATAAAATTTGTGACTTCGTATATTTGCATTTTTAAAAACTTGGAACTAACTGTGCTTCTTTACTGTGATTTCGTTTGTTGCTTTTTCTAAGATATTTTGGGAAATCAGGTCAGAGTAATTTTGACTGATGAACAACATTAACAAGTAGCAACATGGACTTGAGAGGTGCCAAGTTTCCAAATGCAAAACTTATTCTAGCAGTGGGACATTGGTGTCTTGAATCTTATCTCCATATGTCTATATGTATACATTTGTTGAAACATAAGTTTTGTCTTATAACTTAGAAGGAAATGTTAGACTGATGCCTTGCCAGCTTATGATTAGATTCACTTTTTGTTGTTGGAAGATCACGACAGTGTTGAAACGAAAAATATAAGCTTAGTGAAAAGTGGGTCGTACCATGAGATTGACTAATCATGACTCGTTCTTGCCTTTTCACCATGCTAAGAATGGCCATCTTGTAATTTTATCCAAAATGAGATTTTATTCTAAAAGTTCAAGGTATCTTGGGAAGCTTGCTGAATGTGGTTGCTCAATTGAGATTTATGATGACTGCAATATCAACTTGTTGATGTTCATCAGGGATGAGAGAGATGTCACCATGTAGGCCAACTATGATGCAAGTATATAAAGAAATTGGAAAGAAAACAAGAGTTATGAGTTGTCTCTGTTAGAATCGGAATAGTTTATTCCAGTGTGAAAATTGGTCGATTGTTGAAGCTTTTGCATTTGAAAGACGGATGAAGGACCTAATGATGAGTGTTCTAAATATCTTTCTTACCATATGGAACGATACTATCATGGATATAAACTGTACCAAGTTTCTAATACCTTGAGTTATCAGCTGTTCAGCTAGCGTTTAAGGGGTGGATTTATTTTTCCATTAATGAGTCTTTTTTCAAAATCTTGGACTCTCACTCATGATACCTGGAAGTCCAGGTCGAGAAATTGACCTCATATCTTTTGCTGAGACTTGCCTAGATCCGGTCCTGTGAATACCAATGGGGGGGTTTTTTCTAGATTTAATGCCATGTTTAGAAATACCGTAACTGGCTTGAGCCATTTGCAAATTTGTAAGCTTGAGCTATTTTACTGAGGAACTAGTTCTTATTTTTAATTACAAAATATGATATTGTTCACCATTTTTTTGGTATTTATTTTTAACCAATCGACTGTTGGTCTGTTCATTTGAATGGTTGAAGGTGAGCATCGACAGATAATCTGATAAAGAGTGACTGGCGGGGTAATGCTATTCTGAAAGTGAATTCAGAGCTTCATATCTCGAGGTTGTATTTATGGGTTAAGAAACCCATGGAATCTTTGGAAACTTATTAAGGAAGTTGTACTTCACATTTGTGTTGACTGTGCTCCGGGAACTCTAATGAAATCCTCGTTCCTTTAGTGCTTGATTTCTGTTCTGCAATTTCCCTGGTCTAGGTTCTGTTCTGCAATTTCCCTAGTCTAGTCGCCTATAACAACTTCTTTGGAAAGATGCCTAATTTGTGTAGTTTTATATACCTTCTGTATCAAATTACTCGAGTTACTGTTTGATTCTAGGAATAGGATTAACAAAATAGACTGGTGATCATTCTATGGCTTAAGGCAGGTGGGGAAATGTGGCTATTAAGGGTGACATTGTATTTATGGTTCATGGGTTGAATCGGGGAGAAGTAATTAAGTTCTGTATTAAGGTATGGGTTCAGCGACTCTGATCAATTGATTCTGTTGGAGATTGGATGAGCATAATTCTCTTTCTTCTTTCCTCTTCATGTACTGTCAGGATGGACATAGTTCTTTCCATTTCCCTTTCTTCCGGTGTTATCAGACTTACGTTTTTATGTGTTAAGTTCATTCTTTGTTATCTAGATTTCGGCAAAATAAATAACCTTTTTTGCGACAAGTGATAATTCTAGTCGCTTAGATTGAGATTCACTTCTACATTTGCCCCTAATGTTATACTGTCAGGCAAGCAGCGAACATTATGTATGATCTTTCGATTATAATAAAACAAGTTCTTGCGGAATTCCATTTGTCTATTTTTTTTTTTTTCTTTTGGAAGATTGATTTCTGTTGATTTTTCCACTTGTATGATGCTTTGAACAGGCGACAAATATCTCAAGTCAGTTGTAATATCAGAGCCAGAAATTACCTTCACCAAAAGAGAACCTGATGATGAATGTTTAATACTTGCAAGTGATGGTTTGTGGGATGTTCTTTCAAGTGAGTTGGCTTGTGAGATAGCTCGTGAATGTCTCCAGGAAACGGTCGCTGCTTCTAGCACTACAATAGATCTCAACGCCTTGCCTCAAATTGAAGAAGGGGCTGGAACTTCATATACCTCTCGTAGTTCAGTTGCTGCAGCACTGCTTACTCGTCTTGCTTTGGGGCGGAAAAGCACCGACAATATCAGTGTCATAGTTATCGATCTAAAGAGGAGCTAAGCTGAAAAAATAATGTAGTCAAGGTCAACCAAGTATATGGAGTTGTACAGCCTTGCTCTAGACTGGAAACGAAGTGAGGAGCATGATCCATTGAAGATTGCTCCTCTTAGGTGAACTTATTTCTCTAATTTGTAGGTTTGCGATTGAATTTATTAGTTGAAAGCTGTGTTCTGGGTCATGGGTCAATCGATGTTTTGCTTTTTTATGCCAACATGAAGCAAAAAAGAACTGATGATTGGAAGAATCGATACAATCCAACATTTTTCCTACCACGTGATGTTAATGATGTGCTTTATGATGGGATTAGACAATTACAGGCATGCTCTTACATCCTAAAAATGAAGCATTTCTCTTTTGCTTCCCAAAATTTGGTTGATATATCATTACAAGATTTGCTTGCTGTGGCCAGTTTGCCCCCTTGTTTGGCTCCCTACTCTTACTTTCTCTGTTGGAAAAGATGATTCCAGCTTTAAATCACTGGAATATGCTGCAGTTAGTTGAAGTCACATGTTAATATCTGATCATATCTTTTATCAGTATCAAGCTTTACAACATTACTCCATTTGAACATGCTTCTGCGGCCATTATTTCATATTGATTATTGAGATTCCAAAAGAGGAACATAGCCGTAAAAGAACATGAAAGATGTTTGTTTCTTTGTTTATGTGTGCAGTAATTTGGATTGTAGTTTCTGCTTTCATGGTTGAGTAAGTCTGAAGGGTCGAGCTATATTTTCATGGCCTGGCTGTCTTTCATATTCATATTAAATGCAGAAGCAGAATGCCATTTCAACCTCATTGTGGTCACAAAGCTTGCATCTATTCAACATATGGCCATTGTCAAGCTGTGCAACACTTGTCGGCGCTATTCAGGTATGATTCTTACTCTCTCATTAATCAATGATCTAAGATAGTAGGGGGTAGAGAGAGAGAGAGAGTTGGCAAAGTCCAGCTGGTTCTTGTTTGGTAGAATTTGGAATAGCTTAAGTATGTGGGCAAGGACTTGGTTAAGCACATGCAGCATGAATTTTGCAGTACAATATTGGAGTCTCATCACAAAAGCACATGTAAACTTTTAGACTTCCCAACCAATTTCAAATCCAATTTTTATTGATGAAAAGCTGCAGGCATTTTCACACCATTGACCTGAATCTATGAATGCTTTATAAAATGTCCCCTCTTATCTCTCTACTCTACCTGAGCAATGGAATGTGACAGAATATTCTTGTTTCTGGCCCTAAACAATAAACTAATGGGTATCACAAAAGAAAACTCAGTGAAGGATTGTCTTGGGAGTTTGGCCTGGATTAGGTGAGATTTAGAAACATTGAAAGATAGAGAGAGAGATGGAAGAGTTGTCAATTCATTTGGGTTTTGTTTTTATTATCCAATGAATGCTTCTTTTGATCTAAAGCCTCTAATTTGTCTTATACCACCAAATACATACTTTCTTCCTCTCTCCAGAGGAGAGAGATGGGCACGTGTGCACGTGACATTCAAAGGTCGTCGCATGTGACACCTACAATTGGTCAAAATCATTATTATTTTTTGTTTCATTTCATTTTCAACTGAATGACTAGGTCGAGTATTTCTCTAAATTACCAACATATCCATCCTTATATTTTCCCCTTCAATTGCCCTTCTCCTTTGTCGAGAGCTGCTTCACCTCGAGCTATCATAGTTTATGGCTAGAGCCTAGCCATAATATAAGAATATTCAAATCTCTGCCTCGAGGAAGTATGTGGAAAGACTATGTGATTGGTATTTAAAGTATTTTTTTCCTATTATCAAAATGATATCATAAACTTGAGAAGTGGGGGGCATTTAATGTAATTTTGTATTGAAAATATTGGAAAACAAAAGTAATAATAGAGAGGCAAGGGTGAAGAAATGAAAGGCAGGGAAGGAAAAATGAAGCATTTAATAATGGTGCCTCCCAATGGGGGAGTGAGGTCACCATTTGAAACTAATAATTCTTTAGACAAACCCTTTGAATTAAAAGAAAATTACCTAATTCACTTTTTATATTCAACTTGTGTGTATCACTTTTCCTTAAGTTTGCTTTCACTTACTTTTCCTCTAATTGGTTGGTTTTTCTAAATTATTTGTTCACTCATTATAGTTTTAGTGTTTTCATTGGAAAATCTCACGAAACTCTGGAAAAGAATTAAAATGATATCAAAGATGATTTAAGCCTCTAGAAGTACATCAAAATGGATACTATTTATCATAGGTAGACCTGTCTCCTCAAAATGGAACGTATCGGAATTCACGCATAAGTATTTCTTCGAGTAAAGGACTTTTCTTTTACCAGTCAAGTGGGAAGTTGGGGGCATTTCCTTTGAAGAAAATAGAATTTAGGAAAGTGGTTTAAGTAGCTTAGCTAGTTAGAGCAAAGGACCAAAATTCCTTTTGTCAGCGATCAAAATCCACTTTTAGGTAAAGAGTCCAAAGGACACATAGTCGGACTTGATTCAGATTGTTCACTTGTATCTATTTTCGTATAACGCTTCATGTTCAGAATTTATACCCGAACATGAAATTTGGTTTCGACCTAAATTCGTCTCTGTTTCAAACTGAGAATGAGAGAGTAGGGAAATATTTTTAGGGATCGAGAATGAAGATTACATTTCTTGTCCCTAACCGGTAGACATCTCTAACTAATACCCATAACTTCTAATATTGTCTTTCAAAAAAAAAAAATATATATATATATATATATATATATATATATATATATAAATAAATAAATAAAAGATTATCCCTCTCTAGTTTCTAAAATTATTGTAGGAAAAAGCGAAAAATGAAAAAGAAAAGAAGGAAGAAGTGGATATTTTTAAAGGTATATTGACGTTTTTATGTAATTATGTAAAATGGAAAATCTAACAATTTCCCGCAAATAATAATAATTATTAATGTCCAAAATAAATGATCAATTAAAAGAGAAAATTAAAGAGCACAACGCTCCCATTTTCTTCTTCCTTCTTCTTCTTCTTCTCCTTCTCCTTCTCCTTCTCCTTCTCTTCGAAAATTCTGTGTCAGTTTCGCCATGGAAAGAGCTCGGTACTGTTAATCTCGCACGAACACAAATAACCCACCAAGGATTCGCTAGAATTTGTTCTCTCACGATGCCATCTCGCTCCATTTCCCCGTCTCCTTCTCCTTCTTCAGTACACACCCATCACCATCCTCTGTCCAGTCATCTTCTTCCCCCAATCGTTGCCGCTTCCACTGCCGCTTTCTCTCTATTCCTCTTTTTCATTGTTCTCTTCCGTAAAATTACCCGGAAACGCACTGCCCCTGCTGATTCCAAACCGCCCCATCGATTCTCCTACTCCCTTCTCCGTCGTGCCACCGAATCTTTCTCCCCTTCTCGCCGTCTCGGCCAAGGCGGCTTTGGGTCTGTTTATCGTGGCATTCTTCCGCAAACCCACAAGGAAATTGCGGTCAAACTTATGGATTCTGGGTCTCTACAAGGCGAAAGGGAATTTCAGAACGAGCTGTTCTTTGCCTCCAAGATTGACTCGTCTTTTGTCGTTAGCGTTCTTGGGTTTTGCTCTGATCAGAAGCGGCGGAGGATGCTGTTAGTTTATGAGCTTTTGCATAATGGGAATTTGCAGGATGCTTTGTTGCATAGGAAGTGCCCGGAGCTTATGGAGTGGAAGAAACGATTTTCAGTTGCGGTTGATATCGCCAAGGGATTAGATCATCTTCATGGGTTAGATCCACCAGTTATCCATGGTGATATCAAGCCTAGCAATGTGCTTTTGGATCATTGTTTCTCGGCTAAAATTGGGGATTTTGGGCTTGCTAGGTTGAAATTGGAGAATAGTCAATTTGAAGTTGAGGTGAAGAAGGTGAATGGTGGTGTGGAGGAGGAGAAGAAGGAAAAGAAGGGGGAGCATGAGAGCAATCGTGGTTGTATAATTGAAGATTGTGGATCTGTGGCCGAGGAAGCTGAGAGTGTTACTACTGGATTCGATGAATTCAACGTGGGGGTTGATCAGTCACCTGAGAGCTTTTTGAGAATTCCCGTTTCAGAGACTTCACCAGAGACGGTGGAGGTTGCCACAACTTCACCTGAGACTGCTTTGGCGGCTGCAGCGATGGCATCCCCATCGGAAGTGGCTTTTGACAGAGCTAGTGTTGAGAATGGGAAAGAGCCGAGCAGTGTGGAGAAGAAAAGTAGTTTTGGGTTTAAGAATAGTATATCAGGTAAAGATTGGTGGTGGAAGCAGGAAAATGGAGTTGGTACCAGTGGGAATGTCAAGGAATATGTTATGGAGTGGATTGGATCAGAGATCAAGCCTGAGAGACCGAAAAGCGAATGGATTGCAGCCTCATCGAGTGGCAGAACTGTAAAGAAATCAGAGAAAAAGAAGAACAAGAAGCGATTAGAATGGTGGATGTCTATGGATGATGAGAAGAATACCAAGAATCTGAAGAAAGAGAAGAGAAGGCCAGTGAGGGAGTGGTGGAAGGAGGAGTATTGTGAAGAGCTTGCAAAGAAAAGGAAGAAAAAGAAGCCTCAAAAGGGCGCAGGTAGCTGTGATGAGAAAGAGGGTTACATGTGGCCAGGGGATGATGAAATGTACAGAGAGAAGAAGAGAAGAACCAGAAGCAGAAGCCATGGAAGCCGAGGCAGCATCGATTGGTGGTTAGATGGACTTAGCGGGGAACTCTGGCGAGCTCGTGGGAACAGCCATGATTCAACCGGAGGGGATATTCCCAAAAGTGGTGGCATTAGTAGTACTCCAAGTATGAGAGGAACAATGTGTTACATTGCCCCTGAATACGGCGGTGGCGGAGATCTCTCCGAGAAATCTGATGTTTATAGCTATGGAGTTCTATTATTAGTTCTTATAGCTGGAAGAAGACCCCTTCAGGTGACAAATTCACCACTCTCAGAATTCCAGCGTGCCAATCTCTTATCGTGGGCTCGTCATCTCGCTCGAGCTGGAAAACTCATTGACTTGGTCGATCAGTCGATTCAGTCCTTGGATAAAGAACAAGCCCTTCTTTGCATCAAGGTTGCCCTGCTTTGTTTGCAGAAACTGCCTGCCCGCAGGCCCTCCATGAAAGAGGTTGTGGGCATGCTAACAGGTGCATTGGAGCCACCTCAACTACCAACAGAACTGTCTCCTTCACCTCCATCTCGCTTCCCAGTGAAGTTGCATAGGAAGGCTCGGTGAGTTAGTCAGATCAAACAAACTCTTTTCTTGTATATGCTCATACGCCATTTTAGCTAATTTATTCATCATCTTCGTAGGCGATTCGTGTTAAAATGCAATCAAACAGTAAAAAAAAGTTCATAGTTTTTCACATTTGCTTGTTTCCTTCGGTTTTTCTTCTTGTTAGTGATGTGATGGCCTTTATAGGTTCAGAATTCATAAGATATTTGTATATAAACAAGTCAAGGTGGTTAGAAATAGAAGAGATTGTCCCTTTCTGTTGTCTTGATCTTCTAACACTGAGTTTGATAAAGTGCATGAAAGCTTCTAATTGCTTTATGGAAGTAGCTATGCTATGGTTTCTCAGTGATTTTCCCTTTCCTTGTAGCATTGTTATTCTCTGAGTAAGCCCAAAAGAACAAAAGAAAAAGAAGAAAAAGGAATTAGAACCTTAGTGGGCTTGAAATATCATGAATTCAATTGCTTTTGGAAGTTGACCAAAGAATTTTACAAGTAGGCATGCCTTTCACTTTGGTTAAAAGGAAATGATAGTACAGAAAAGCAACAGTATTGGCAATAGAGCTAGAATTGAAGGCCTTTTTCTCTGTATTATCTTTTTCCTTTCTGATGAGAAAACTGCTTTTGTTAAGAGAGATTGAAGGTTAAATTACAAAACCAACTGGGCCATACAAAACACACAGACTTAGGCCATCCAAGAAGAGGCTTCAAAGCCTACTGAAGGAGCTTCAATTGTTGACAACAAAGAATAAAGGGATGTTACAAGAACAATTGTCCGCAAAAGCTCACATGGAAATGTTGTAATGTTTGTTACTCGCAATCTCTTTTCAAGATCCCTCGACACCCGAAAAGAACTTCTTGTTTGTTTATATTGGAATGGTAGGAAAGACGACCTTCTCTATCGTTATTATATAGGACACTGGTCTAAATTTCTTCCGAATTTTCCTAGGCACTAAAGCAACTCCAACCAAACCAACTGAAATAGAGGTGATTCCAACGCCTCATTAAGAGCCCTCCAAAGCAGTTGCTGCATGTTGTTTTAAAACGCGTCTACTAGGAAGAAGTTTCCATATCCTTATTAAGAATGCTCTGTTTCTCTCTCCAACCAATGTGAGATTAGGGTGTGGAAACCACTTTTTCTTTATAGACGCGTTTTAAAACCCTGAGGAGAATCTCGAAAGGGAAACAAACCCCAAAGAGGATAATATTTGTTAGTGGTGGGCTTGGGCTATTACAAATGGTACCAGAGCCAGTGCCAACGAGGATGCTGAGCTTTCGAGGGGAATAGATTGTGAGAGCCCAAATCGATTGGAGAGAGGAACAAAACATTTCTGATAAAGGTGTAGAAACCTCTCCCTAACAGACGCGTTTTAAAACTGTAAGACTGAAGGTCAAAACAAACATTATATGCTAGTGGTGAGCTTGGGAGTGTTGGGAGTGTTGCAATGCAACTCTTCTTTATAGCCTCCTTGCTTCCTTCAATATATTACATTGTCCTTGTGCACTTGGTGATACTTCAAATGCAAGCTTCCTACTTTTTTTTTTTTTTTTTTTTCCTTGATTAGTTCTGCAATCATTCACTATCATTACTGACCGAACCCTCTCTAGTTTCCAAAGTCTAAGAAGCATTGGGATGAATAAATGCTCCACAGTTAAGTGGGCACAAATATGGCTATTGGATCTGGGTTAACTTGTGAAAATCTGTACTGACCAAGTTTCCAGGTAAAGTTAGGGTGTGACTGAGACACGACATTCAGCTTTCGACGAATCTTACGCCTCACCATCGGGTGCCCGTAGAGCATGGAACAGACATACAGATTCCACTCTCTGCTCATTGCTCATCTATTCTTTCATTGTCTCTTTTGTTGTATGAAGATCATGGCTGGATTGTGTTCACTGTTCCATTCATTTTAATTCTCCTGTTATGAAATTTAGTTCAGTGGTTTCAACCTCAAATCCAAAGACCTCGAAGTTGGGCTGGACTGCCTTGGGCCCCCAAGTCAAGCAAACTGGCCCCTCTCCTTTCCCGCTACCTATTTTAATTGCCAAAATTCTCCAGATTTTTTTTTAATCATTCATTTCAAAGAATCTATTAAATGGACAATTTTCATTATTTAATATAATTTTTAGTAAATAAATGTAAAATATCTTAACAAATCTAATTAATAATATTTGATAAATACAATTATAATAGAAAGGAAGATTTTGTGAGATGAGAATAAAAACTTCTCTCTGTATACGCGTTTTAAAAACTTCAAGGGAAAACTCGAAAGAGAAAGTACGAAGAGAACAATATGTGCTAGTGGTGACTTGAACGGTTATCATGAGGAATTGCTTCAAAGCTAAGGCTATTGAGTTTATAAACTTTAATTGAATAATTCATGCATATATATATATATATATATATATAATATTCATAGGACCACAAGGACTATGAAGACTTTAGTTAGTAAGTATTTAATGTATATAAAAATATCATTCTTCCATATGACTTCGAGTTTAACAATAATAATAATAATAATAACAATAATAACAATAATAATAATAATAATAATAATAATAATAATGTAGATATAGGGTTTGATAAAAGTGGTTGAAGATATTGTTGGTACCCAAACCCCAATGAATATATAGTTGAATTCATATAATAAGAGATTGGATGATCATGGCCTGATTCTCAAGCATAAACACCAAATCATTTACATCATGTGGTTGGGATTTGCTTCTTTGCTTTTTTCCTTATTTTTTAGATTTTGTTCCTTTTTTATATTTGGTGGAATCTTAAGCCACCCTATATCAATGTTAGACCATATTAATCCCTAATTAAATATCTATTCCCAATTAAATATGGCAAGGATGCACGGTTACGTTACCTACTTCCTACTTCTTAAGAGTGAACATTGTCCCTATAAACGAACACGAGTCGTTTTAGCATTGTCTTCACTCACATGCATTCTGAAAAAATTATCGGAGGTTTCCCAACATATTGTTCCAAGTAAAACACGTTTAACTATTAAGCTCGTATGATTGAGCCACTTAAAAGGAAGATGCACTTATTGGTATAGATAGGAACTTTAGTATTTCTTAGCTTGATTTAAAGCGATTCTATTTTATTTATTATTATTTTTTTATTTTTGAAAATAGTCTTCAATCTTAAAAGTATTATTAAACAAGTCAAGTAAGTTACGAACATGTGCTAGGGGATTGTTGGGCCATCAAATGTCGAATTCAGATTTCAAATCCTAGACATGAGTCTTACAAATATAGTTAACCTTCACAATCCTATCGAAACAATGCATTTCATTACTTAGACAAGAGGCGTTTAACTAGAACTCCTTTAAGTTATGTCGTTCATTTTATACATCATTGACCTAAAAAAAAGCACAACGATAACTTAGTTGGACACAACATTTCTACCCGTCTACTGATTCTCAAAACCCAAAAGTAAAACCACAGAGACATATATTTTAAGTAGACAATATCATATTATAATTGTATCTCCTACTTTTGTGAGTATAAATAAGCAAACCCACCTATAAACATAAAACACGTCTTTTTGTAATGTTTGAATAAAATATTATTCATTTTCGACACATGGGGCAAGATAATAACAAATAATGTCCAAAGGCTATATTAAGTCAAACCTCAATTATGGTGGGCAAATTAGGAGTATTGAGCAACGTTTTGAATATGATTATGGGAAATTAAACATCATTTTCAAATCAATGATATGAAAAGCTACCCAAATGATAGCCTTACTTATATCTTATTATGGATTATTTTTCCACAAATTAATTCAAATTACTATAGTCATAGTAATAATAATTTTCTAAAAGAACGAACCCATTTATCATATAAAGAAATATATTTATTGTAGAAGATTATTGGGAGCGAGTCCCACATTGATTAATTTAGTGGAAGATCACGAGTTTACAAGTGAAGAATACTATCTTCATTAGTATGAAGTCTTTCGGAGAAACTCAAAACAAAATCACGAGAAGTTATGCTCAAAGTGTTCAATATCATACGTGGAGAGTTGTGGTTCATAACAATCATTACCCTTCAAATCCTATAATTTTCAGCCACTATTTGTTTTTTTGTTCTTTCAACAACCATATCTACAAATTAGGGTTTGTTGGGACAAAGATCACCTTAGGATCAAATCATGAGATTATCCGAAGAGCTATGGTCTACCAAAGACAAAAATGTCAGTTGTTGGGTTTGAACATTCAATCATTATTTCTCTAAGTTACATATTTAATTAATGTCCTTAAAAAATAAAAAATAAAAAAAAATAAAAAAAAAAGAAAGAGAGAGAGAAATTATTGTAATACATGTGTGGGCGGTGAGTCATTCCCCAGCTAATCTTGTTTGTGAAAGATTTTGAATGGAATCTTGGCCTTCTCAACTCCAAACCCTTTCAAAATTCTTGCAAGATATTGCCCTAACAAACGCATCTTCTTTGTTCTTCACATAATTTCAGAGTTGTCAACCAGCTATATAATGTTCCCTTTACAGAAATGCGAAGACAAGTGCTTCCAGATTTCGTTTAATCCTCACCAACACATAATCCCTGAAGATCTCATCTTTGGGCCTCAAGTTTCAGTGGAAGCTCATGATGATAGTAACAACAATAATAATGGTGTCAACAATTTGGGAACTCGTGGAAGAAGGAAGCTGCTTCAGAATTTGGATCATGGCGTTTCGGATCAAGATCATCAAATCAAGTTGATGCATAGAGAAAGGGAGAGGCAAAGAAGACAAGAAATGGGTGCTCTTTATATGTCTCTAAGAACCCTACTTCCTCTTGAATTTATCAAGGTGATTGCTATCATTTTTTTTTTTTTTTTTTGTGATTTTGTATGAACCCACTTAGATCCGGTTGTTTTATCCCAAAATTAAGCAACCCTTTTGATGAATTTTTGTTTTCATCACTAAAAATCGTAGCTTTTTGGTGTTGTTCTTGGAGCTTCTAAAAGGGATTGTTTTTTGGTGTTGATTTCAGGGGAAAAGGGCGATATCAGATCAAATGAATGGGGCGGTGAATTATATAAAGTATCAGAAGAAGAAAATCAAAGAGTTTGAAGCTAAAAGAGATGAATTGAAGAAGCTGTATAATAGTTCAAATGACTTAGAGATATCAAGAGGACAGACTCCAATTTGCAGCTTCAAAGTTAGCTCCTTTGATGGAGGGCTTGAAATCTTGATCACAACAAATGATTTCCATGGATTTCCCCTTTCAAGAATCTTGAAAGTAATTGTTGATCAAGGGTTGGAAGTTATCAGCTGTGGCTCGACCACGATGAACGACAAATCTATGCACACCATTCAAATGGAGGTAAGATGATTGCTCGTTCATTTGTTTATTCTCGAGAGTCTCGTTTGATAACAATTTTGTTTCTTTGATGTGTCTATCATTTTCTTTGCATAGTTCTTTTAGTTTTTGTAACCGTCCAAGCTTTAGGGGAAGTTTTAAAACGCATCTGTTAGAAGAGATTTTCACACCTTTATAACGGGTGTTTCGTTCCCCTCTCCAAGTAATGTGGGATCTCACAATTCACTCCTCTTAGGGGACCAGTTGACTAATGTCTGGCTCTGGTATCATTTGTAACTGCCCAAACTCACCGCTAGAAGACATGGGGCAGTTAAAGTTTTAAACTTGTTTTTGAAACAAATACGTTCAAGTACGAAAGCTTAATTCGTAAGAACAGAAGTCAAAACCAAAATGATTATCAAACTCGACTGGTATCGTTCGTTCAAATGGATTCGGCTTTACAAATTTCGAACATGCAGGTTAGTGATTCAACCTCCCTTGATCTCAGTCAGCTTGGAAAGAAGCTTACAGAAGCAGTGCCACAGCTGAAACAAGTAACAGATTAACATTATTTACTTGATGTCTATGATTAATTAGGCTTTATTCCCCCCCCCCCCCCCCCC